GGGTAAGTGGGCAGAACCACAGCAGGATAAGACAATTTTAGCCTTTTCCTCCAGTCCTGATAAGCAACAGATAGACACAGACCTCCATGTTGCTGATATACACAATTAAAAAGCAACAATCTCCATATTATGTAGATATGCTCATCTATCACAGTACCAACTCCCCCATGAAGACAGGGTTTTCAATTAAAATGAATATAGGATCAAAATAAAATGTGCTGATTGAAAAACCTGAACGATGAGGAAGCTCTGGATACGTTGGCAGGGCTTTCCCCATTTGCCTGTAGCTGTTAAGCCTGGCCCGCTGTCAGAGATAACGGGCTTCTAAAAACATGTCTTGTCTACATAAACCTGCACGGACCGAAGCTATGTGTTTTGCAGGCATTTTGCAAAATGCTACATGAAATCCAGCTATGCGCATTGCTGACTGTGTGCTTATTCTACTTCCTGGAAAAATGTCTACACTAGGGACGTGAACTATATTTGACCCAGTACTAAATTAGTAGCCGAATCTGGGTTACATTTGGATTTCTAGGACAAAAATAAGGTGAAGCAAAGAGGCTAGGTCTTTCAGAGGAAGGAGTGACACTGTACCCAATAGATTGTACATGTTAAATGACTCAATGCTGTTAAAAGCAGGGAAAGGGGAACAGAAGCGATCGATTCCTGATAAGGAAGGCTCAACTTTCACCAATGGAGGAGAGTGTTTTGCAGAATGCCCTTAAAGTTAGAAATGAACCTTCTTTCCCTTGCCTGTTTCAAAGTCATTTATTAAATCATCAAAGTCTGCAGAAATAAACAGTCCCCCTCCTTGCATAAACCTGTGTGCTGTTCCAATGGACTAGAAAAGAGAGGGCTGAGAAAAGAGGATGAAATGAACCGCCCCCCAGGCAATGTGATGGGAAGAGTGGGGCCCCTTGCATTGCCCATTTAAAGTCCCTCCCTCACTCCCTTCTCTATGACTGTCACAAGAAGCCTCTCTACTCACTGTAAGATCAGTGCTTTCCCTGGTGACCGAACAAAGAAAGGGGGAAAGAAAACAGAGCGCCCAGAAAACCCTTCCGTTCTCCCTGCACGGCATTGTCCACTAAAATCTGGTGTGTGTCTGTGTTCATTTCTCCTACCGTCTGGGCTCAGGGGAACAGGGTTGTGAACAACTTTTTTTAATGGAAGAGCTGCTCTGTTTTTTTAACCCTGGGTTCCAGGGATGTTGTTTGCAACAAGCAGGGATAGGAGAAGGGTTCCTATTTGGGAGTTTCACACGGTGCATGAAAGATACAGGCACTCCGCCAGGAAAAAATGAGAGATCATGATAGCAACCCTTTAGAGATGCAGTTCCTCTCCTCCCACCAAGGAAGATGAATTCAGCTGAATGAATTGTTTCTTTTTGCGGTGATGATGATGATGATGATTTAAATACTGGAGAAGGAAGGGTGAAGAAGCACAGACTCACTTCAAAGCCTGGAGCTGTCTGCATTTTTCTATGAGCTTCGGCCGGAAGTGAACTCCTCTGGCTTCTAGGTCATTTGGACGCAACCTGCAGACCTCAGACACACACGCAACACAGGATTAAAGGACAACACAACAGAGAGGAAAAGCTGCATCGCAAGCAGCAACCTGTGAAGACCCCCCTCCATGTGGACAACTGAAAATTAAGCAGAAAAAAGACGCCACAAAGGTTGCCAATGATGCAACCAAGCTCTGTAACTCTGCCTTTAAGGGTGACATTGCCTGGTGATGCAGAGTTTATTATTATCTCACGTCCTGAAAAGCATCACCACATGGGAAAAACAGTAAAAATCCAAGAATTATAGGAAGAATAGGAAAAAGGAACATGGCGTCCAATGATTTTATGAAATGAGCAATCACTATACAAGCAAAGAATAGGGGAAAGGGGTGTGGGGGTGAATTAAAGAAGTAAAGCAAACAACCACTTTCTCACCTGCGAACCACAGATTCTGCTTGCCCCACCAGAGGAGGAAATTCCTGATCCACAACCCACAGAGTGTGGTTTCTCCTATGGAGGCAAAACACAAAGTCAGGCAGAATGAAATACAGCTCCTCAGCAAAAAAATAAAAACAAAAAAATAAAAAATGAAGCTATAAGGGAGTTCATGTTGTTTCCAAGAACAATATGTGTTGTGTGTCTCTCTGTGTGTGCCTCTCCCCATTCCACATTTTCCTACAAAGTTTCCCCGATATTTTCATCCAGTCTATATTTTCTCCCGTATAATGTGCTTTCATACACTTTAAATTTATTTTTTTTGCACTACAAATCCATGAGGGACATGCTGACAGAGTTTGTCTGGGATTAAGAATTTTGTCCTGTTTTTAAGTCGCATTTACAAGTTCTGTATTTTTTCCCCACCTTTTCGTGATTTGCAAACGGTACTACAAAATTTTTTAAAAGTCTGAAAATTTGCTGTGTGAGGTTCCCCACCCCCCCAGTTTGTGCCTAGATTTGAGAAACAAATATTTGGGACTTCTGCATTTTTTTAAAAAAATACTGAAGCAAATAAATTTCTTACCACTTCCTTGCCCAAATTTGCTCTTCAGAAATGAGAATGCATTCTTGGGAGGGAAAAATTATCCTCGGCTGCTTTTCACAGTGTTCCTTCCAGCCCCGGTCTGCCCATCTTATATATAACTCTTAGAGTGATTTCCAACTTAGAGTAATCCAAGTGTTCTTGGACTGCAGCTCCGAGAATCCTTCGCCCCTCGATGTTTCAGGCAGGATTTCTGGGAGATGTAGTCCAAGAACCTCTGGACTACAAGATAACTGGAGAGAATGTATGATCCAATAGAGTCCCTTCCAGCTCTGCATTCCTAAGATTATGGATGATTATCTTAAATATGGAGAACTAAATTACGTGATGCTTGTGATGTTCCCCTGGCCTTCGGCAGCCAACTTCAGAAGGACGGCGATACTTTCATTTTCCACCCATGCTTCTTTTATGCTGAAAAGAAGAACATGAACACATTTCTCCCTTTAGTCTGGAGCATTTTCTCTCATGAGTTTTTCAACAGTTTCCCACCCACCCCCTTAAATCACAACACAAGCCCACTCCTGTTTAGGGGGAAGTAAATATTCCTGAGCCACTGTTCTTGAACAAATGGGTGCCCATTTGTATTTCATGTTTTGTAACCCTGCCGTCATGTTGCTATGTCTTTTTGATTGCTGTATGAGTCGACTGCATTTTGTTTTGCTTTTTAATTGCTTTAAAATAGGTTCAACAAAGTTCAACCCGCAGGAGACATGCTTCCAATGAAGACATTTCTGCATTCCACCCCAAGATCCCTCATGCCCAGTGCAAAGATTATTATTTTTTTATCAATATCTATGAAAATAGGTTCTCTTTTGCAGTTTTTGCTTTAAGGAGGGTTGGAGTCGTACTCACTCCAGCTACTAATATCTCAACCCAGACATGTTTGGTTGTTATTTTTCTAAATTTGGGGGGCATATTTTTCTTTAGCCCTTTCCAATGTTTGTGTGCCCTGTGGCTGGTTCTAGGAGAGAGAGAAAAAAATGGGCCTGGAGAGCCACCCAAGTTGCCCACCCCCTGCTCTCAATTTTTATCTTGCAAATAATCGTAAAGCAGTTTTGCTTTGGAAGAGATATAAAAATATTTCCTGTGATTTTCGGATATGAATGCAACATTTATATTAGCCGCAATACGCCAGCCTTTGTCTCTTTTACAGCCAGAGAGGGGGGCCTTGAAGAAGCCCAGTAGATGAGGCAGGAAGGCACTAAGGGCCGAAGGTTCCCGACCCCTGTACGGAAGAAAGGACTCGAAGGAAATTCCAAATCTTGCATATTCTCCAGCAGATCAAACTCAGTTAAATGATGGAATAGACATTCTTACCTTATTCTTAGTGTTCCTGTTGGTTTCCTCATGGCCCGAAACAGATCTTCGATATTGCTGAGTGTCATGCCATTGTTGGTTGAACTAAAAGCATCATCATCATCATCATCATCATCATCATCATCATCATCATCATCATCATCATCGTCACAACAACAATAACAATAATAACAACAACAACAATCTTGTAACCTATACAGTGGGGTCTTGACTTGAGAACTTAATCCGTATTGGAAGGCGGTTCTCAAGTCAAAAAGTCTGTAAGTCAAGTCTCCATTGACCTACAGTGCATTGAAAACCAATTAATCCCGTAACAGGCCGTTTTTGTTCCATTTTGGTTTTTTTCTGGTCTGTAAGTCAATTCTCAGGCTGCAAGTCAAACCTAAATTTTGTGGCCAGAGAAGTCTGTAACTCAAAAAGTCTGTAAGTCGAGCCGTCTGTAAGTCAAGGGTCCACTTAATAGATAGTTCCTAAGTAATCGCAGTGAAGTTTCACCATCCATAAGGGCAGGAGAGTGGTTAGCATAGAAACAGGAAAACATACGTGACATCGCTCAAGGTCGTACATTTCTCCAGCTCAGCAATCAGCCGCGCCCGCTGTTCTCCGTGAAAGCTGCAGTGATTTAGCCTGGAAGAATGAAGGAAATAAAATAGGGGTGAATAGAACAGACTGGTGTTTAAATAAAGTAGGCTTAAGTAATTCCCAAAAAGGTATAAACAATCACAGTCTTCATAATATGGATGGTATTGGGTGAGGAAGAAGACACGTAGAGCAGGGGTTCCCAACCTGGCGTCCCCAGGTGTTCCTGGACTCCAACTCCCAGAAGCCTTCAGCACTAGCTGTGCTGGCCAGGATTTCTGGGAGTTGTAGTCCAAGAACATCTGGGGGACCCAAGGCTGGGAACCCATTGTCTTATGTCAATCCAGATGGGGCACATTTCTTGAAGCCGGACGCTTAGCAAAGCAAGAGGGAGTTTCCTGATTTGCCATAAGTAACAGTTGACAATCTCTCCTCTTTCTCTGGATGAGCCTACCTCAACCTTTTTTTTTCCTTTAAGGAGCTCCTCTCAGGTTCCAGGGCTCCTTGTCAAACAAGGCTAGAACATGGACAGATTTATTTCCGAAACTTCTCATGGGGCCCCCTTCAGATGTTCCAGGTGGGCCCCCTTCACAATGGTGACTGTATATACAACATCTGTCTGGGCATCTTATTAAGACGGTCCACTGTCCATTACCTCACAATCTTCTGAAGGTTAACTTCTCTCCGTAAGGTGAAGAACAGCATTTCCTCGGACCCCAGACTTGAAAGAAAATAAACACAGCTTCAGGGGAAAATAAAGGCAAGGTAAGAAACATGAAAGATGACTCTGGCTTATTTGGGTGGATATTCCCCTTTCCTTCCTTCTTTCTTTCTTTCCTTTTATGGTTTAGTCAGATAAACCTAGAACAGACCTGCATTCTGTACTTTAAATATATATACAGTACATATTTTGGAGATTTAGAGCCTGACCTCCAGCAGCATTCTGAGGGCGAGTTTGCAAGTTTCCAAAACACAACAAAACGCAAAACAAAAAGGGCATACAAAACATAGCAAAAACAGTGGCATCTGAAAGTACAAACAAATAAACAAAGCCAGCTAAAATATTTAGGCAGAGAGAAACCCCAAACAGGCAACAGTCTGCCATGTTAGTATGGTCGTTGTTTTACTTTTGCATTCCAGACTAAAGGACTCAGCCTCCAGCCTTCCACTTCTGAGATTCAAATTGCACATACCCAAATTCTGAAATATACAACTGGAAATGAAGGGAAGCTCTTAATTTTGTCCTGTCAAAAATTTCCAGAACTCCCCAGCATGCTGACTGGAAAGAAGCTTTTCCAAGCTCTGAACTCACTGTGAGTGTTTCTACAACGTGTCCTAGCTGCTCTTCACCACAGTCTTGAGAGTTTACAAAGGAATGGGACTTTTGAATTTCTTTGACTACAAATCCCACAATTCTCTCAATTCTGAGAGTGGCACACATTTTACAGATACCCAAGTGTGGCTCACCTGGGAGGAAAGGCCTAAACTGAGGCCGAGCTAGGCCTAGTTCTACCCAAATTTCCTGTTCCCACCCTGGTGCTTGCTGGGAGCTTTCTTTCTTAAGCCATCCACTCTCCACATTTCCAACTCATTTTTTTTCATGCTTATGGCATGCTTCCCCTCACCCCAAACACTTTGACACTCTACCCCCTTGCTTCATACGGGAAGCTTGATCCCTTTGATAAATAGTGAATACTTTTCTCCACTAAATCCCTCAATAAAAACCAAGACACGTGAAGCTTCTCTCTCCAATTCTATGCTTTTTTCCCCCAGGTCCAAATGGATGCATACAATCAACCGCCACCAAGCAATTATACCTCACATGAACTTCTGCCATATTTGGATACATGGTGAGGACATTAACAAGATGGAGAACTGCATCTTGAGAGATCCCGTTGCGGCTGATCCTACACAAGAGAGGAAACATGTTGCATGTCGTTTGGGTGATTTTTCTATTTTGGCTCTTTTTAGGGCTTACAGGTCAATTGACATTCAGTCAACGGGTTGCAAAGCACCCCCTTTTCAAGACTCTGAGGGCTTATTCTCACAACGGATCGTACCGTTTATTTATAACCACTGACCCGATTAGGCAGTCAGGTACAGGGTGTCATGGAGGGGCAGCAAAATCCTGGTCCTAGCAGAGGATCTGAGAACTTGAGCAAAATCTGCCCAAGAGATGACATCTATGTGGATACAAGTGGTAGAGATGGGAAGGATGGCCTTTTGAGGACCTCAGGTCTAGTCCAGAAGTAACTTTCCCAGTCTCTGATCCATGGAACACAGGTGGTGGATGGAGAACCTGAGCCAGCAGTGGGTTTGGGTCTTGGGCACCTAAAATCCCACAAACACTTCCTTGAGCCAGGATTGCGCTCACTTACTTTATGAGGCATGAGGCCTGGGTCTTTGGCAAATGTTCTAAGAGATACCTCAATCCTTCATTGCCAAGATGGTTGCCAGAAAGACTGGGGGTGGGTGGGAAGAGAATATAATAAGTGAATTCCCATTGGAAAGAGAGAGAGAGATCTATCAATGGCTGAAAACATATTGAAGTCAATGTCACTTGATGTTATACTTGCAAAAGCATGCAGGGCTTTAAACCTGGCACAAGTTTATGGTGTGATTCATGGTGCAATCATGGTGCAATATCTCTCCCCAGTGTCATCTGCCCAAGCTATTAGATCACCATAGGCTAAGCAGCAGTGGGTGGCCACCATGAGGGAGGCCTGTAAGTCTTCTACAGCAGGCAGAGCCTTCTTGGCGGTGGCTCCAGCCTTGAGGAAGCAGCTTCCAGAGAATCCCCGCCTGGCCCCCTCCCTGTGGACATTCAGGAGACCACAGAAGATGTGGCTCTTCAAGGAGGTTCTACACACCGACCCCAGTGGACCGCCCATTTTTCGTCTGCTTTTGTCCTGTGAGTTATTGATTGGTGGCATCTGTTTTTATAGTAATTTTTATAGTTCTTTGCTCATTTGCTCTCACTGTCTTTAATGTTTCATTTCTCTCTCTCTCTCTCTGTGATGTTTTATCTCCCTTAAAGTAAGCCTTCCATCTGTAGGGATATTGCGCCTGCCTGGTTCCCAGGGAAAAAAAGTTACCCTCGCTGCTGGAGCAAAAAGGTCCAGCTTGGGCACAGTTCAGGCTGGTTCACCATCTCCTGCACATTGTGTGATCTCACTGGCACTGGATCATGCCCTGAGCGGTTCAAAGGGCGAGCTCTTTCTCCTTCCAAGGGCATCTTGAGCCACGCTGTCGTTTCACCACCAAAGAACGCATCGCCAAGCCAGAGGAGGAACTCCCCTGACGTGACACAGTCTATCCCAGGTTCTGTTTGAGGAGAGCAACCACAGCAGTTGGGAATCTCACTTACTCCACTTCTGCAAGATGAGCGCCCGTCTCGAGGATGGAACACAGCCTGTCCATACCGTCCTGGCCGATGCCGCAACCTACCAGCCTGGTTGACAGAAGATAAATGAGAGGTCAAGCAGCAGGAGCCGGTCACATCCAGTATACTACTGTTGAGGGGGGGCATTCTTTGGGTGGGTACCCAAGGTGGCACCACTGCCCACTTGAGTCGTGGGCATCCCCTTATAAAAAGTGTGCGCCAACAAGAAGAGCAGAGGGCAGGGGACACTTTGCATAGGCTCAGGAAGCCAAAGTACAGTAAAATCTTGTGACCGCTGGGTAGCTCTGAGGTTTAGGTTTCCGACTGTGGAGCCAGAGGTTGGGAGTTCGATTCCCCCATGGGGCCTCCTTGACAGGGGATGGACTTGATGATCCAGAGGGTCCCTTCCAGCTCTGCAGTTCTAAGGTTATTAATAGAATATATTTAACCAACAGGGTGATGGCTCAATCTAAGCTACATTTCTCACCATGCTTCCTGCATTTTTTAAAGCACGCGGGTCTTCTTCAGCACATATGAAGCAAACAACATTACAACAAAGGAAGGATGATCTGCTTTGCACATACTTGCAGTGTATTTCTTGATTTCCTTCGCCTTCCACAAAATGCAGAATAGCCTTTTTACTCGATCTAGATATGGACAGAAAGAAAAAGCTTCACTTGAATGGTCAGAGGATTGACCTTGTCATCTGACATGAATAGTTACCTTTGCTTTTCAGTACTTGTGTTATTTACTATTAATGCACAAGCTCAGTTGATACTTTGGAATTTTCCACTTGCAGCTATAAAAGAGTAACTTGTTTTACTATTGAGTGACACTCGTTGTATACATATACTGTTTGTGTATGTCAATAATTCTCCACTCTCGGAAGCAGTACAGTTTATTGTTACATTACTAAGATTCACTGTGTGTTCTCTTTTGCAACCTCTAGCCAACAAAACTAGGTGGCCTTCTCTGACATTTCCATTCCTTTGTGCCTCTGTGTAACAGATGGAGGAGAAGAGGTTCTCCATGTCACAATCTATCTGGGCCCACCCAAATCTGCACCCACGTAGCTTCCTAAAGGGCCTTGAATGTCTTACCTGACTTCCACGTCGCAGACTCTATTGCACTGGTTAAATGAGTTGGCCAGCAAAAGAACACTGTTTTGAGTTAAGCATTTCTCTGTGATACTGCAGGAGAGAGGGAGGATGGGGTGGAAGAGGAGGAAAGCAAAAACATCCAAAGGTTGGGTTCAGCACAAGGCATGGGGATGGAAAAACCATGAATACAACAGCAAGTATAATCATTTCTGAACAAGGCCAGCACAAAGGTCCTTCTTCAGGGTTAGGGTTAGGGATTCGGAGAATGTGTGAAGGCACATCTAAGTGAGAGGGTCCCTCATCATATCCCAGCTCCTTTTTCAAATGGACATTATGCCAAGAAGCAGCAATTTGAAGTGATGATCTATTACAACCCCCCCTTTTAAAGTCACCCTCTTCAAAATGCAGTCAGCATATTAAAGCGGGGCCACTCATAAGCCATGAAAAAATGCATGTCTGATTCCCACCTCTTAACTCATAGAGTATGGGAAAGCTTCCATTCTGGTTCTTACTTTTTCAATGGCTTCGATTGCCCTCCCCTCCTCCCCAGTGGGATTTACCTTATCCAGAGGAATCCACTAATTATCCTAGCTTTCCTTCAAAGCCAAATAGATTGATCAGCAAGGGTAAGTGATGTGTCAAGAATGTTTTTCCATGGAGATGGTGGAGGGGGAAATACAGGCAGATTTGTTTGTCTAAGGACCACTAACTCACATTTTAAATCATTTAATTCCAAAATATAAACTTTTCAAAACAGGAAGTAGAGTTCTGGCCACTTCCAATTTCTCCCCTCCCTTCTGTATTTTCCCACATTTTTGGTAACCCCCCATAGCTCCAAAACTTGCCCAGTCCTGTTCTAGCAGACCAGCCAGGTTAGCCTGTTGTCACAACCCAACCGGGCTTTTGTAGCTGTTGAGTGTGTGCCGGCAATCCCTGATAGGGTGTATCCTCATACTGTGTCCAGCTTCCACCGCAGTAGTCCAGGCAGTCTACTGCAACCAGTCATTGCAAACAAAGAGTCTAGCATCTTAATACTGTTCAGGAACTAGACAAGGCAACCCAATTGTGTGGAAGAAAATGCGGTCTGTTGAATCCGCCTTCCACAGTTGTGGAACCAGAAAATCTACAAATGGAGTAAGTGATGAATTTCATGTCAACCATCTTGGAAGCCATAATGGACATCTTGACTATGAACGTCTCGAAGCAGCCTTCCACTAAGTTAGATCACTGGCCTCTCTTCCCCTAAAGTCTGGAAATGTTATTTTTTTTGGGGGGGGGGAGCCACAGCTCTCAGAATTTCCCATCTTCCATTGCTGCTCACAGCCCTTTTGAAGACGTGGAAGTCAAGACTCACCTCAAAAGCTTCAGGCTGTCGAGGCGGGGCAGGAAGACCAGCAGCTGTTCCAGGCTTTGCTCATTCACCAAGCTCCTAGATAAGCTGAAATACCAGGGTGGGAAGCTTAGAATACATGGGGAAGATGGGATCTACCAGCTTCAGTGTTGTGTAGTCATTAGGGTATTGGATTCCCCAATGGGTCTCACTAGGTGACCTTAGGCGGCTCTCTCTCTCTCTCTCTCTCTCCCCACACACACAACTGACCTCACAAGGTTGCTGTGAGGATCAAGGAAGAGCCATGTACAACCACTTGAGCTGACTGGAGGAAATGCAGGATAACAACAACAATTACTATTGATTTTGGAGGGATAACCTAGAAGTGGGTGTCCATCAGAAATTGGTTTTCTGTGCATTATTAACATACACATGCATTTATAACATCCAGGCCTCACATGCTGCTCCAACAGCTATAAATGAGCAGGGCCCACTCATTCCATTTGTGTGTGTGTCTTAAATACACACAGAGTGCATGAGCAATCACTCAAGCATATAGGACTTACTTAATCTCTGTCAAGCCAGGACACTTGATGAGAATACTGAAGAGCCGGACAACATCCTCCGGAGTCAGTGTGCCATCTGCAAGACTAAAACAGAGGGTTTATTAAAGGAGGGAGACCCACCAAGCCCACAAAATTGGATTTATTGACCTACACTGGGGGAGGCGTTGCTGTAGGCACACTTATGACATCCCCCAAAGATGGAGAAAAATTACACTTTACCAAAAGCAGCGGCCATGGACTGCTTGCTCCCGTAGGTCCTCCTGATGCTCCCAACCGGGGCGGTGACTTTGAAGGCAGAAAAGGAGACCCACCTGGTTAGTTAACATACTTGATCATACTTCTGAAATTCTCCTTCAAACACCTCCCCCACTCCACCCCAAAAACAAACCAGAGATCTGCATAACCTAACCCTGTTTTTGAAGTCAAGCTGGTGAACGATGGACTCTTCATGATTCTATTGGTGATTCTGGGATCTTTGTTGGCAGTTCCTCCGTGTCTGTCCCACCAAAGTCCATGTGTACGTGGATACAACACAAACACAGTCCTGATTTTATTGTTGCCGGATAGCTCAACGAATTAGGTCTCTGACTGTGGAGCCAGAGGTTGGGAGTTCGATTCCTGACTGTGCCTCCTTGGCAAGGGCTGGAGTTCTGAGTTTGTTATTGTTGTTATTGTTGCCAGCATCATCAACATCACAATCTTAACTGTTAATGATGCTACGGTGGGACTTGTACATGCATGAATGGGGGATAAGACTGCACTTTCTTTAGGGGGGGGTGTTTTATTACGGCACCCCTTCAGGAACTGGGAGGAGGAAAGAGGTGAACGTGGAAGCAGTTCTCAACTGAAGCTAACAACCCCTGCTTCCAAGTTAGGATGGATTTTTAGACTTTGGAGATGCCACAGGCTTTGCTTGGGACCTTTGACATCCACACATGTGCTCTTCCCCACTGAGCTACAGACCTCCGCCACAAGTAAAAATGTGCCGACAAAAGCATTCTTTACCTGGTGGTTTCCCCAAATGTTACATAAACTTTCTGGGCCCTTCCCAAACTGTAATGAGAGAAAACGCACAATGGTAAGGAGATGCAGCAATTTGGTCGTCTTACTGAATTTCTCAAAAGAAAAGTCCTTAAACAGAAACAGATAAAATAGCAAGCAAGAAAGTCGGTTTGTGAACATACCCTAATTGCATCGAGGCCATACATTCCGAAGCAGAGAAGGATTCTACCAAGCAGAAGGCACCATTGAGGGATATGTCATTATGATCCAGGCTAGGGAAAAAGGAGATTAAAAAAAGAGAAAAGAATAAACCCGAAAGAAAGCTTCCGTCACTAAGAATGCAAGAATAATTCGTTTTTGCACAAGAACAAAATTAGGCCCAGTCGCTCGGAATTCCTTGACGCAGCTTCAACCGTAGGGTGATGGTGGGCTGGAATGCAAAATGCATCCCTTCTAGTATGAAGGATGAACTCCCAAATCAATCCACAGCCCCTGTGTGAGCACTGATTGTGATTTCCAATGTAATACAAGCGAGGAATCCAATTGCAGCAAAACTGAATTGCTATGATTTAGCTTTCCTGTGTAGTCACACCCTGAAACACAAGGCGAGCAGTTGAGGGCAATGGTAAAACATGGCTAAGAGGCATCTTTCACCATTTGAAGGAACCCTTTTACAAAATATCATGCTAAAGGTATTTTTTTGCTTGCCCCAATATACCCAAGTCAACTGGCACATTTTGTAACTCTCTATACCAGGATTGGCAGTAGTAGAGTTTCACCCTCCTTTTATAGCCCTCCATATCAATATAACCATCACAGACACACAGAGCAAAAACCCAATTTTTGAAAAACAGCTCAAGGAGAAACATTAGATACCTAGTCTATTCATTGCTTTTACCAGCACAACCCCCTCCATCGCCAGTTTGAAGCGGAGACCCTTGTAGGCCATTGTAGGCCAAGAGAATCTGGGAGTTGCAGTCTAAAAATTAACTATTCCAACATCCAGTTTGAAGCGGTACAGTCCAGATGCAAATGAGCTGCCTCACTGAGGTCTAGCCCAGTGTCACAGCTATATAAAAATGCCATCGGATAAATGTATAGAAAGGATGACCTTTACTTACATCAAGGAATGTAATGCTTTAAGATCTGAGACTAGTCCCAGGATCTTCAAAACTCCTGGGTCTCCGAGAGAATTACTGGACAAGCTTTTTTTGGAAAAAAAAAAGAAGAGATTATTTTGGAAACAGAAAGAAGGCTGCAACAACTACCCTCTCCCACCACCCCCCTTTGTTAGTAACATCAAGATATCCTATTAAAAAAACAGTCAGCCGCAGAGGTTTTGTGTTGTTGTTTTTTTGCCCCTGCAAAAATTGAAAACCCAGAGCTTCTATATTAGCAGAAGTAAATTTTCTAATTTTTGCACGCAAAGCCTTGCAATCAGACAAAAGGCAAGGGTTTTTTTAAAAGCAAAAAATCTAAACCATACAAGCAAGTTTTTCACCCAAAAAGTGTGAACAGGCAAAAAAAATAAAAACACTAAAACTCTTCTGAAATTTGCCCCAGCGAGAAAGAGATTTTCCCCCCAGTGCTTTTATTCCTAGCAGCGAGAATGAGAATAAGCAATGGTTTTAAACAAACCTCTCTTTTGTATTTATGTTTTGTATTATAGCTTCTTTTTCGCCAACTGACTTATTGGTCGAAATCCATGCAACACATTGCCACTAGAGTAGACTCGATGGATCGGTGGGGATTTAGTGAGTCATCTCCTCCATAAGTTCCACTGATTCCAATGGGCCTACTCTAATAGTCACTTACTATTCCTGGGAAGTTAGAGTAGGCCTATTTGAACCACCAGAGCTTGGGGGATGGGGTGTTTGTCCCACCAAATCCCCACTGGTTCAACAGGTCTACTCGAGTGCAAGTTACTAGAGACAGCAATGGGAGTTTGGCCAGTTGGATGTTCTGAGAGGGACTACCAACATTAATGGATGTGAATGGCAATTCCTTGTGTTTCACTTAAAGAATAGGGAAATACAAATAAATATATTTTCAGATGTCCATCAAATACATCTGGGATGGTCTATATGGACATTCATGCTCCCCTCCTACATCTATCTGGAAGGAAGGAAGGAAACTTACTCTAACTCCGTTACACCACTGCATGATCGCAGAGCCATGCACAAGCGGTTCAGGTTGTCACCTTGAAAACTATTGTCTGCCACGCTGCAAAAAAGAAAGAAAGAAAGAAAAACAAAGCTACATTTCAGACACGATTTAAAACCAGATTGTGGCACCACATAGCCCATGAACCCCAGGCACTAACTCCCACTCCCCTCATCCCTGCTTCTTCTGCCCCACTAAGCTCCGTGACAATGAATAGGCCATCAAAATCCACCTTGGCCCCACAGAGGCGAGAAAAGTTCTCTTTTGCTGGACTATAGCCCGGCACCAAGGAGACACCGGCAGTGTTGTCAGGTGTATTATGGGACTTGTAGTTCATCCCTGCCGCCACAGAGGAAGGCTCCTGTGTCCCACTGCTTGTTTCTCTCATTTATGCTGCCGAGTGCCTGTTTTGTGAGTCTTTTAAGAAAGGACGAGTCAGCAGAAAAACCACCGGTGTGGCCGTACCATATGGTCCTCGACGTGGCTGCCCGCTGTTGCCCCTCACCACTTAACTGGTCACGAGCGAAAGAGGAAGACCTAGAGCAAAAACAAATTTGAAATGGTTAGAAGGGCAAACTCTAGGCTTTTGTGCTGTGACGTTTTCTCCTAGTGCTTCCAAGATGCGCCAACCGCACTCAGGTCCGAAGACATCCCTGCCAATCCATGCCCAGCCTCAAATGTCCTCTGGTGATCTGAGAGGGGGCCTCGGACTGTCTTCTGGCAACCTCTGCATCACACAGTCATGAGCCGGGCATGGGGAGGACGAAGAGTTAAAGATACCAGTGTACTGACTGTGCAATGGTGCAACTGGGCATGTGATGAGGATCCTGGAACAGGGGAGAGAAATCACCTGTGTGATCGCCCTTCCCTGACCAATAGTGACTCAAGCAGGATACTGCCCTTAATGAGGTTTTTTGTTCACTTCTCTTTAATAATCTTGATCTAAGGAAAATCGCTTTGGGAGACCCAGTGGGAAGACAGGCAAGTGCTTTGGCAAGGTCAATAAAATAAATCAGCCTTGCTTTCAGCCTCAGCATGTCTTAGGCTCTAAGAGCAGATGGTCTTTTCCTCTGATCCAGTAGAACACTTCTTTAATGTTAAGAAAAATTATTATTTATCAATCCATCATACCTGGAATGAGTGGTGTCAGTAAGTTCGTTGCCGATGAGTGTCAGTCTTGCAGTTTGACTATGAATACTAAGAAGATTAAATGCAGAATTCCACAATGTTAGATTTGGCAACATGGGCCAATTACTCAAATGTCCACCCGTTCAGCATGGTTGGAAGGGAAATAATTGGGCTAAGACAAATGTCCAGGTAAAGAATTAGTATTCCAAGAGGTATCTGTGGATATCTACATCCCATGTGTTGTGTACACTGTCTGATAAACCTCTATCTAACAAAAATGCAAGGCACTGATTATACAGTTGCAGCATGTCACCTCGCCAGCTTGTAGGGTCGGTGTAGATGTCACTTCAAAAGATGTTGGAGTTATTGCAACCTTGCATGCTGGTCAGCTTGGCTGGGAGGGATCTTTCCGGGCTAAGATGATGGTCAATCCCTAACAACATTAACCCATGGTTCCCTCTCCCTGCCTCCGAGTCCAAGAGAGCTCCACCTCTTTGCTCTGCCTTTCCTCCCCTCTCTTTTGTCTGTTGGAGTTAGCTTGTTGGAAGTCCATCAGTTCATTGAGGCCCGTTGCTGTCTGATCTATTCCTCTGCAAGCAAATGGAACATTTTTATTCTTTCTCCAGCTCATGTCTCAGAGTGAGTTATTGAGACTATAAGTGCCAGGTGATGAGAAAAAAAGGAGGGGACTAATATGGGGAACGTGAAGCTATTCAGCTCTGCAAAACCCTGCACTTCTGCTGCACAGCTAGAGAAATTTAAAAGTCAAAACTCTGCAGTGGATGATGGGGAGACGATGGCAAGTTTCTTTTTGGACTGCAACTCCCAGAATGCCCCAGATGCAATGGCCGGTGACCAGGATGGCTGGATGAGTAAGGGGGTTCTAGCCCCTAGAAGTCTCTTTTTCAAATGACAGATTAGGCAAGCATGAATAGTTGGGATCAATGAGCACCAGGGCTTCCACAGAGTCTCACCATGGACTTAATATAATTTGTTACATTTTTTCTCTTTTTAAATGTTGAGGACCATGGGTCTCTTAGACACACACCTATAGATTTTAACACCGCTTAACAACAGAACCATGTTTTCTTGAAGCAATGCAGCACTGGTCAGTAATGTGGGACCTTCTAGATGCTCTTGGACTACAATTCCCAAAAATCTAAGGCCACATAGCCATGAGTGACAGATTATGACAGCTGCTGTACAACCACTTTGGGAGGTATCGACCCTTCCATGAATGAACTGGCACATGAAAACATCCTTATGTGCCCCCCTCCCCATCTAACAAACCAGACAAGCAACAGTGGAACGAGGAAACATCTACAGATGTTTGCCATTGAATCCTGCTTACCTGGCTTCGAGCTTCACGATGTTTGGACACACACTCATGGAATGCAGGAGACAGAAAATACTCTTAATAGACAGCCGGTTGTTGCTTAAACTGCAAAAAAGACAAATCAGGGGAAAGTATTAACAATAACAACAACTTTTAGAGACAACACTGTGGCATTACCTCTTTCCATGAATAGGCACTCACCATGGATCTGTACCCCTTCCCTGTACGCTACTTCAGAGGTATGTGAAAACCCGCTTGAATTCTTTCCTGATTTGCACTCACATACAAGAATCGGAAGTCCTATTTAGGGCTTACAGATGAAACCATGGAAAAGGTGAACTGGGGGGGGGCAACTGTGCACATCAGCCCTGTTCCCCCATCCTGATTGGGAAAGCCATCAGATGTTTGCATGCTAATCTTAGAGGTATGAAGAGAAGACTGTTATGTCTATTAAGCTTCTTCCGCTTTGGCTTCCATTGCCTTCTTACTCATAGAGTAGGCCAAGCCTGAAGAGAGAGAATCCCACTGTCCATGGAGGCTCTCCACGTGAATCAGGACCCTGCCAAATCAAAGTCCTGACTCACCAGGAGCCGGTCCACCAGTAGTGAAGGACTTCTGCTGTTCACTCATAGTCCTCCATGGATAAGACAGTGACGAAACCAGAGAATTCGGGGACTGGATCTTTGGGACAGAAGGGGAAGGAAAGGTCTCTCCTGTGGGCAAGTGGAACACAGTCCCAGAACTGTCTCCAAATGAAGGGAATGCGAAGCCACTTTTGAGTACTCTCTACCTAAAAAAAATCTTGAAAAGGGCTGCTGTAAAGTCAAAATTGACTTGACAGTAAATGATTATTATTCAGTGCATCAATGGTGTCAAGGAATGTAAAGCTGCTTTATTATGTCAACCAGTTGCACTTCACAGACTTCTTCTGTTGCTCCTTATAGGCAACGAAATATCTGAGCTTGGAAAAGTTCTTGGGTCATAACTTTCCTGAATCCCCCAGCCAGGTAGGCCAAAACGTTAACTTCCTCAAACTCTAAATAACAAAGATACCCAGCTAAGGTGCAAATCCAAACACTCAACTGAGAAGAAAGTGAGAAAGATGGAGACGGGAGCAAGATTTAAGCAGCTTTGTCTGAGCTGACCAGATGCAACATTCACTCTAAACACTGAATAGAGATTTATCAATGCCAATTGATCAATTGGGAATGCAGGAGTAAAATAAAAAGAATAAAAGAATAAGCAAGTTGTCAAAGAGTACATACTTCAGAAGACCAGAAACGGACATTTGAGGGACCGTCTTCATTAGGCAGCTGCACCCTTCGTCACCAAGGTGATTATCTGACAAACTGACATAATTTTTCACCAGATTAATAACACAGTCGATTTAGATATCTCAATCTCTTATCAAATAGTCTGGAAAAATCCGGTACTTACTCAACTTCGGAAAGGTGAGGACAGCTCTGGAGGATCCTGGCTAATTGCTCAGCTGTTTGGGAATCTAACTGGCAATCCTGTAATCTGTATGAACAGAGTGGTGTCAAGGTGACCATTTCCAAGTGGACGCAAAGAAGAATTTATAAAAAGGACAACTTTGAAGAACAGGGAAGCAGTTTGCCCTAAATTTGCAGATGACCTTTCCTTTTTTTTTCCTTATTTGTCTCAGAGCACTGCACAATTACAAAATTATGGATGTATATGAAATATAGGTAAAATTAAAAGCAAAATAAAATGTTAAGATAATCAGGCTATTCTTCATAAATTTGTGATCCTTTTGCTCATTATCAAGTTTACAGTACAACATTTCTGGAAGTGAAGGATTGGCTGGCGGTCCAGGAGATACATGTTAACAAACAGATTGAAAATATATTTACCGTAATATTAAATGTCTGCTCTCAGGAACACTTTCCTCTTCCTTGATTTCTTTATCATTCAACCTGAAATCCATAAATTGGTGTTTGTGTTTTTTAATCATCATCATCATCATACCAGAAATGTGAAAAATAAAGTGAGCAGCAGTTGGTGGCATCTAAACGGAAGCATATCTCAAGGAGATCTACTGGAATCAATGGGACTGAATGAATTATAACCGTTTCAGAGCCCTTGTGATCAATAGATCTTCTGTCTAAAGTAGAACCAGGCATATCAAACTAGCCTCCTGCAGTTCTCAAGTGACAGGATCCCAGAGGGCCTATGCAAATGGACTTGTAAATGAAACTCATGTTTACCTCCCATGGGCCAATCACAGAACAGCACAAAGATACCAGGAATGAGGAAGAACTCTGCTAGATCTCTTTTAAGGGCAAAGGAAGTTTGGCTTCCAAATGCGAAGCTTCTCATCCGGTCTAGTTTGGCCTGGTGACCAGATCCAACTGAATTGATGCCAGACTCCATGAGTCAGGCATCCATGATAAATACCCCAAAGCACATTCCCGCTTCAGAGGTGGCATTTTCCTCAGGGCCATAAGAGGAAAGGAAAAGGGTTAAATTCGATAATACAATAACTTCCATCACACCCATAATTAGGAGCAGCACCCCAACAGGTGCAATTTGCTTTAAAACCAACAATACTGCTCATTCATGGCAGAGATAAGCTTAATGGTGACACGTATTTTTGGCCTTTAATTCCTTTCCACCACTTTCTGGATCCCTTATGTTTTTCTCCTTTCTTGTTCCTTTGAATGTCCTGCCCTCTCTTACTATTAGTCAACATCCGCTGGACCTGCAGTTTCTCACCTTGAATTTGTTTTGCCGCAGCCGGTGAAGTATACAATCAAACTCTTCTTTCTGCAAGTAAGAAGTGGGAAATTAAATCAGCCAATCAAACTGCTGAATGGAGTATAAAAACAGAGCTGACCCACCCTGGGAAACCTCGTTTGGAAACGAGCAAACGAACAGACAAGTGGATTGCAAATCAATCAATCCATAAAATCCAAAAGTAAAAATAAAAAAAATTCAAAAAAGGACAACTCCCCCCCCATTACAGCTACAAAAATTGTTTGTAATTACAGTTACAAATAACCTCCCAAATCCTCGCTAAAAATGACAAAAAAAATTACAAATGGGTTTAAAACTATGTATTAAGCTACAGTTTTTAAAAGGGGAACTTAAAAAAAATGAAGACACCTGTTTTGGCTGTCCATACCTTATGTGGAGCTGTGCAACATTCGGAGAAACTCCAGCAGCTTCAGCAAAAGTGAGAACCGTCCTTTCAGAAATTTCATTGCGGCTCAAACTATTTCAGAGACAACCAACACATTACAGGTGCTTATTCACTTATTTCTTCAATCCATATCCTGCTTTTCCCCATAAAAGCCAGAGCAGCTAGCACTTCACATACAAAAGTTCAGTTAGAGCCATAACTTACAACCAACAAAAAAAATCTAATACAGCAAATTACGAATATCTAAAGATCATCCTCGTCATCTTAGAACGGCGGAGCTGGAAAGAAACCTTCGGCTCCTCAAATCCAGCTCACGAATCCCGAACCACAAACTGCACGCATCTAATATGCAAAGTCTGTGCAGCCCATTACGGAAAATGTCATCCTTTCCTTCACATTTATAGGCATTCTGTGCCATTTCTGTGTGGTGGTATGTCTTTTTCATACACAAATGGATTCATCAGTGGACAAATATTCCCACCGACTCGAAATGTTTTAGAACTGCAAAATGCTTTCTTAGTGCGATTCAAGTTTAGTTCTACTTACTCCAACATTTTTAGCCGTTTCATAGTAGAAAAGATTTCTGCGACTTTGATCATTTCCTGCTCCTTCATTCTGTTGTCCTGCAAGCTAAAGTAGAGTGACGGATTAATTGGCTTTCATAACGTCCATCAGATTAATTGAATGGCTATCTCCATCCCTCACATCTCCACAAAATAAATGCCCTTACTTTACATCTTCCAGCTGCGAGCAGTTTAGAAAAGCTTGGATGAGAGGTTCAAGTCCTTGGATTGTGAGATTTCCTCCTGCTAACCTGAAAACCAGAAGTTCTTGGTTATGATGATGATAACATTATTGCATTTTTGTAATGAAGCTTGAGGCCATTCTGTTCGTGGCAAAGAGTTATGCCCTCATTCTATAGCAAGAACGCAGAATCTCTATGTGTTTTTAGGCCCTTGGCTCAGAGAAAGCCCAGCCAAAACTAAGAGATGATGAAGATTTTAATCTAAAATTTCTGGACAATCGAAAGGAACCAACTTCCAATCTATAGATAACTGGAACGACTACCAAAGACGCAACTTGAAGGAAAGATATCTCACAAGATTTGCAGAAAGTTTGTTCGTTCATTCATTTAAACTATTTTTACCCTGCCCTTCTCCTTAAAAAGACCTAAGGCTTTTTTGCATCAATTAAAAAGACAATATTTAAAAGCTAAAAACAATTAAGGATACAAACATTAAAAAATAATTAAACAAGCATCACATTAAAAATGATAAACAACATCAATACTACAGATTTTCTCAGGTCATCAGTTGGACTTTCTATTATGTTTAACTTTTTCCTAAATTGTAGTCTGTGAGGCATCACAGACTTCACAAAGAATTTCCCCCAGCCACTTCCTCATTGAATCACTCCGTCATCCATTTAGTTTTAATATGTTCTATGTCGTCAAAGGCAATATCAGGATGGTCTAAACAAAATTATAAGAACGAGATAAGGATGCCACCAGAGCCACAAAAACCATCAAGGCAGCAAATTTTAAAAAAATAAATAAATCAAAAGTCAATTTAGATTTTATTTTGAACTTTCCTAGTTCTGCTCAAACTGCCCAGGCTCACAGACCAACGGGGACATTTTAATCTCGGGACAAAAGAAGCACAGCATGGGTGTAAATGCTGTCTCTTTTTGGAAAGACGCAGGAGAGACTGGTGATGGTTCCAAATTCCTGAAGGTGGGATAGTGTCCCTGAGTTTTAGCCTGAAAGTTCCACGATCTGTCCATGGTGCTGAACCTATTCTGGGAATAGAATCGGGCCTCTTGCACAGGTCCTGCAAAGTTCAGGCTACAATCCAGAGTGGAGTTGCTCCCTCTCCCCCTGCCCCCGCCATATAATAAGGATCACCCAGCTCCACTACTGCAGGAGGAAACCTTCTTTCAGGTATTTGGGGCCCAAGCTGACTATACTCTCCTGCTGAAAATCTCCAAGGTCGCATGAAGAAGTCCTTCACATTTCAGCACCCTTGAGGTCCTTTAGAATGGCAGCATCAAGGATTTGGGAATGTCCATGCACAATGCCTAGGCTCTACCACAAGGATGCTGGGGACTGCTGTCACTGGGCCAATGAATCCACTTTAGGTTTTTATCCCAAACTTTTCAGGAGCTACTCAAAGTGTTGAACCCTATCCCAAAAACAGTTGAGTTCAGAACAAAGACTTGGCATCGATTGACCTCCCCACTCACAGCAGAACCACCAGCTTCCCCCGGATCTACTGCCGAATCCTTCCCCATTGAAGCTGCTAGATTTTGCGACAATGACTTTTTAGTACTAGAAAAAGTATTAACCGTATAGCTCTCAGACTTCCCCAGCTGGCTTGATCGGCAGCCGCCTTCACAAGCAATGCCAGGCTCTGCCCGTCCCCAAACGACACCCATGATTTAGGAGCAATGCTTACTGAAATGTCGTCAGGCAGTTCATTGACGGCAGGTTTTTGCTGAGGGCGGCAGCAAACTTGTTTCCACACTTCCTGCTCTTAAAGCTGAAAATAAAAGCAAATCCTGAGCTATTGAGTGAACAACAGGAGCAACACAAGAGACAGAAGAAATGGTTGATAGAAGCTTTCTTATGATGGTGGTGTGACAGGCAGCAAAAATATAATACGCCCTTCACGTATTTAAAGATGGCCTTTGCATCAGCCCTTATCACCTCCTTCTCTGAGGTAAACATTCTTGACTCCTGACTCCTTCCACTTTTCCTCACTGGTCCCTGGGGCTGCTCTCCATCTTGACTGCTTCCCCCCCAGACCTTCTTCTGCATCTTGGCATCCCTTGAAGGCTATATTCCCAAGTAGAAGGTTGGAGGGTCCTCCCTCGCATCTTTCCTCATCTGAGGACACATGTTATTCTGCATCTATGCACCACTGTAGAGCTATATCGATAAGGTCCCTAATGTTTCTTACCTCAGGTTCTTTATATTTCCACAGCTGCCAAAGACATGCAAGTAGTCCAGATCCATGGTGCACCCCACAAAATCCAAGGACACAGGATCAGGGGCACTGCTGATAACAAAAGCCAGCGCCATCATGTCCAGCGGCATCAGCCTGAAATTTCGGAACCGGTAAGTGAAATCCAGCTGTTTCCCGACATGCTGGGCTAATCCACGGTCTTGGGCCTCGTGCACACAATGGCACAGTTCAGATATCCTGGGCCCGGTCAACCGAGGAGTGGCGAGCTTCTTCAGCAAGCGGATCACTTCGGCTTGCCGTTCCTGCACCCAGGCCTCACTCTGTCCAGCCACGGAGCAGAGAAAGGACCGGCATTCTTGGGAAGCAAGGCCAGAGAGGAAGACGTGGCAGTTCTCGGTGAACGGCATCTTGGCTTCCTTCTTCAGCAACCACTTTGACCTCAGGAAGAACTTCTCCTTCAAAGAGGCAGCGTCAACGCTTGTGCTAGTCAACAGAAAGAGCGCCGAAAAAAACTCTTGCAAACCAAAGTGGACGAAAGTGTAACCGGCCTGGGTGTGGCCACTTCTGGTCTTGACTCCAAAGGCCAACAAGAACCCACAGAGAGAAGCAAACCCCTTCACTTGTTCAGGCACCTCGGCTGCATAGAACAGCATCTTTTTCTCTTCCAGGCCTCTGAAGGCCAATTTGCCCAGGCCTTGGAGAGCCAGCTGGTATTGGTCCCACTCTGCCTCTTCACTTGGAGAACTTTGCTTCTGATGCTTCCTTATGAAGGTCTGGAGCATTTGGATGTAAAACTGGGTCATGGTCTGAGGGAGCTGGACGTTTCCTGCGTTCTGGAGGAAGAGATATTCCAAGCAGATGCAGACAATGTTACACAAAGCAGGGGTATAACACATGCTCAGCAGCTTCCCGTTGCTTTTCAGGCATGCCAGGGCTTGGTCTCTCCGGGAATGATGGCAGAAAAAGCACTCTGCGTACTCCTCGACTTTTTCACGGTCAAATCCCCAAATTTCTGCCTGCTGGGTGATGGTTTTCAACAGCATTTGAGGGATGATCTTTGGGCGGGTCGTGACTAACACAGTGCAACCGGGTAAGAGTTTCCCTTGACAAAGACCCACAAAAAGCTCAGCAACAGAGAGGGGGCTTCGGTGACCAGAGGGCAAAACATGAGAAGAAAGGGAGAGATGGACATTCTCTACAAACTCATCCAGGCCATCAAAGATCATCAATATCTGCTGGGCATTCTCCAGGAGATGCTCAAACACTGCATCGGGGCAAACGTCTGGACGGAGGAAGAAGTCAAACAGAAGTTCCTGGAGACTCAATTTTCTTTCAATCAGGTTGAGCTGCCTGAATTCGAAGGGGAAGACCATATGGAACTGCGTCAGGTTTCGTTCGGCCCACTGCTCGCAGATTTTATGCACAAGCCGCGTCTTCCCCACCCCTGGTCGGCCCAACAGAAAAACCACCTTGGTGGCACCAGTGGGGACAGTTTCAAAAAGATCAGACAGCCTCAACGGAGCATCGCTGTGTGCCTCCTCCACATCATGTTCCTCTTTGGCTCGATCCTTCCGCTTCTTTATTCGCCAGGCTCTGCTCTGGCGAATCACAAGGCTGACAAACGCTTGACCAAAAGCCAGTGGTTGATCTTTTCCTTGAGTGTCTCCCCCTGATCTATACACTCCGTATCTTTGGCGCATGGATGTGATGATGAGTTGCCGGTATCTTTCAGCAGAATCTGTAAATTGGAGGGAGAAGGCAGGGGGAGGAGTAAGCAGAATCCTCTCCGTATCTACTGATTGAAATCCTGTTGCGTAGTATAGGAAGTCCATGGAATCAGTGAGAATTTGGCACATCAACTTCTCCATGAGTACCATGGATTCAAACGGACCTCCTCTAATTGTGACTTATGATGCTAATGTAAGTTGAAAGTAGAGTAGGCCCATTGAAACAATGGAAGTTTCAGGGGAGTTGACTCACCAAATCCCCACTGATCCATTGGGCCTACTTTAGTGTGACTTACTACAGCTACTGAGAAGTAAATCCCACTTCAATTAAACTGGGTGGAACTGGCTTGAACTGGTAGGCAGGCATAAACTGGCAGGCTAGACATGTACAGTATCCACAACACAAAGCTAGTTTCACAATTATTCTTTCTTTTGAAGAACCTAAAGTTTAACAAAAAAAACCTACTGATTTTTAATTTGGGGGCATAATTTAGTTGAACTAGAGGTGAAGGTAAACACAGGAAGAGAAGCCTGGCTACCTTAAGGAAATTAGATATATATTTTTATTGTGATGTGAGTTTTCCTCAGTCCTGTTTGCTCTATTAGGTCTGCTATTGACCTGGAACCTGTCATTAGGAGATAAGCCCATGGCTCTGAAAGATTTGTGTGCCTGAAGAGAAGACGCTACAAGAACAGGAAATACACATTTGCTTCACTGTATGAGGGGAAACCATAGAGACTCATCTCTGTACATGAAGAGAAAGGTTAGCAGATAAAATACGACTTGCCCAGACATTGTTGCTTCGATTCTTTGCCGTTTCTCGTGCTGGACGGACCACTCCATGGCCGGCGTCTTTCATGTGCTGCAAAACAAAATGAGCCACACGATGCTCAAAGATGGCAGTTTTACCTCAAAGGCACATTGGGACCAAAATCCGGAGGGAAAAGTGTGGGTCCCGTGCAATTATGTGAGGCTTCTTGAATAGAATCCGGTCTTACTTGTTGACGTTGATGGGAACTCAGCTGCGACCGCTTCACAGTTTTCCTCCACTCGGGCGACATGGTCTTCAGCTGTTAATTTAAATTAAATGCAGCAATAATTGTCTCTTTCATAAAGGTTGCTATACAATGAGGGGGGAAAGCAGGAATCATCAAAGTGCTTTGATCCCTCCCCCTTTCCTTCCTTCTGTGTATAAGACGACCCTCAATTTTTAATATAAATATTTTAGACAAAAGTATCTTATATGGTATATGGAACAAGGATGATGGTTTGCAAACTGGTGAGGCGGTGCAAGCTTGAAAGCAGTTGCATCTTACAACCGTGCTAAAATCTGCATGCAGCCCTTCCTGTTTTGCTTTAGCCTCACCCTATGCCCTTAACTCCACCTTCCAGACCAGAATTTGGCTTTGGGGTATGAAAAAAAAGGATCCCCCTCCCAGCTATGACTGCCCAATATCGCTCCGTCTCCCGCTACTCCTACCTTCTCTTGATACACTCATGAACATTATTTCCAGCTCCATAGGAAGGCTGAATTCCATGCACACACTTTGTATAAATGTTTCGAAGGTGGTATCTGCAGCTTTCAGAAACATATTCAAGACCAACAAGGCCTTCTCTTTGGGATCAGTCACCCCTTCGGCCCGCATCAGTTCCATCCGTGAAAGAAGCTGCTTAGCTTTCCTTAGGACCCACTCAGGATGTTGGCTTAGGAAGTCCACCAGCTGTGGCCAAGAGCTCCTGATCGCCCTCTGACGCCCTGCGCGATCCACCTGGAGCAGAGATCAGAAGAACAACAATACGTAACAATAGTAATACTTCGAGGCTTGTACGTTAGTACTGAAAAATACTTCTTGCACATCTTCCCAACCTTGAAAAAATAAAGGCCCAAGCTGAAGTCCAAGTTGAGTCAAGTCTAAGTTGAGTTGCCAGTGGGACTTAAGTCCAACTTGACCGCAAGTCCCCTGACCCAAGTCCCCACCACATCCCTGCAACAACCTAATGAGTTTTTTGTACTTCTCTCTGTTGGTGCCTCCAACGATATTTGAAAACTAAACTTGTGACTTATTGTTCCACTACACACTCGTCTGTTCATGGCGTGTCTCCCCTAGGTTGACTGATTCGATTTCTCTTACCTGGAGCATTCTGCCAATCATTCTCATCCGCGCTGGCGCCGCCTAGGCCATGCTTGGCAAAAACGTCAGGTGGCGGGTTTCATATTTTCAGCACCTTCCAGGTAAACAAGAGCCTCCTTCTGCATTCGTAGAGAGATGCCTGACCAGGTACAGAAGGGCTGCAGAAGGATAAAGGACAGAGACAAGCTTCTGACAGGACCATCCAATACAGGTGTATTTGGAGAGAGGTGTAAAGACCTGGACTGTGTGAGGCTTCACACCAACTGACTGGTCCTGCACTTCCTGGACTGGGGACATGGTGCCTCCCAGTTACGCTGGGTTCCAGCTCCCATCATCCTCAGCAAACCGAAATATTCTTGTGCAAGGGGTGATGGGAGTTCCAATTCAACACATCAGAAGGGCAGCAGGTTGGGCAAAGCTGTGTTGTGTGTATTTGTGAGTTAGATCTTGACACTCACATTTCCCACATGTTGTGAGACAGTTCTTGGTATAAAGGTACACATTTTTTTGGAGAATCAATTTATTTATTTCTTTGCTGTATTTCTACACAACCATTTCTTTAGTCAGCAGAAGCTAAAGTCATCGACTCTCCTTCTCAGTTAGCCCTCCCAAAAACACTAAAAGAATTAGCAGACGGAGAGAGAAAAAATTCTGTATATTTTTCAGATAAAATCTTTTCTTAATCAGATATTACATTTGTATGTTTTTTTCTTTCCATCTATGAGGCTAAGGTGGCTTTCTCCCTCCTCCACTTAATCCTTACAAGAAGTCAGTGAGGTAGGTCAATTCAAAAGAAAAGAAGTGGTCAGGTCAATTTCATGGCTCATGAGAACTTGATTGGGGACCTTCAAGGTCCTTGATTGATTGACTGATTGACTGATTGATTTTTTATACTGCCCATCTGACTACCCAGGCCACTAAGGGCAATTTACATATCACAATACAATAAAACTGAACAACAAGACAGAGATAATCAATAGCAAATTAGACGAAAGTAAAAATAATCCCAATAAAAACATTATAAATAAAATAGTAAAGGCATGGCGGAGGGTTGACTATCTTGTTGTTAAAGCACTACTGTGTCAGGATATCATAGAGTCTGGGAAGGCCTGTCTAAATAACCATGTTTTAAATGATCGTTTGACACAAGGATACCAACGCACATTGTTTTTGGAACTTTGGAAAAAGTTACATTTTTACATGAAAGTATATGCGTTTTGTACACATTTTCACATGGACTCAATAGGGTGCCTTTTTTTTTTTAGCTTTTTGCATTCTTTTAAAATATTTGTGAGGGTCTGTGCACTTTTTATTTATCTGAAATGCACCTCCACCATCACAAATGTGTGAGTTTTGAGGGTAGATTGAACTTTGCCATATAATTGGTATCAAGAGGTTATAACATAATTACTGATGGCCATTCTCTTCTTTAAAAAAAATAGTCAAGGAAAACTTCATGTATGTAATCAAGCACATGAGAAAGAAAATCAGTTTTCTCCCCACTGAGTGAGAGGATGAGAGATTTTCTGCATTTTTTTTTCCTCTAGAGTACTTTTCTAAAATTTTGCAAAAGTGCATTTTGTGCACAATTGTTATTTTTAATGAATGAATGCATTTTGCACAAAACTTGAAATTCTGGCACCAACTATAATTTCAAACACCAAGATGCTATTGATTTTGCGAGTGCTCCTACTGACTCCATCCATCAATTAATCAATATATTTAAAAAAAAAAAATCCCAGGCTCCTAGGCGGGAGTGAAAAATCTTGCAGTGTTTGACAGTTTCCTTTTTTCATCAAAGCAAGAAACAAAAAGTTACAAAGAAGATCAACTGAACAAAATTTTGATTTTTGTTTTTCCTTACAAAGGAAGCAGTCTGGAGCAAGCAAAAGCTATGGCATGGCCACCTTTACACATAGCAATCCTATCACAGAGCATTTAGAAACATCCTACTAAAAGACAGACACATGAAGACATCTGCACCTACCGGAGGTCTGAAGGCATCAAAGAGTAAAGAAGAAACCTATGAAAGAATACCCAGAGGAAACAATTGGATTCAGAGTCTCGGCTGGTTCCCTTTTCATCTTGGCCATGATTCGCAACCTCCCACTGATGGTTGCCAATGTGCCTTCTGGCCAACTGTGCTAATGGTTTGGGAACAAAGGTCTAAAAATATGAAAGTGAAAGCGCTTGGAATTCCCCACCCTCAACGACAAAAAAAGTGAACAGTTCGTTCTGATACCAAACATGCAGAGGAAAGTGTAAATAAAGTTTCTGCAATAACCATCCTTCACCGCAGTATGCCACACACACTTGGCACTTTTAGGGAATTTCCAGTTATGAGCGTCCTTTTCTTACTTGGTAATGTGAGAGAAATAACCCGTGACTTATTCCACAAGGGCGCACGACAGAAATGGAAGCAATGGCGAACCACCCTGAATACTGAGGCCAATGCACTGGCTGGGAATAAGCAAAAAAAATTCCACCCTCTAATACATAAATGGACAAAATAAACTGACACACCATGCACCTCACACAATGAGATGCACCCAGTAATGTACCTACATAAAGTCAAAGCTATATTTTTCCCATGAAAGGTCCCAGCACAATTACCACTTAAAATCCAGAGCTTGGAAACAACAGAAAATTTACAAAGAGTCCTGTGACATTTCAATGATGAGAAACATGACTTGGCATAATCTTTCGTAGATTGTAGCCAACATCACCAAATCTTACATCTGATATGTCCAGTGCAATACTGAAAAGCTGAAGCCAAATAAAATAAGATTCGATCTCAAGATGCCACATCATTTTGTTGTGATGGACTGGCGTGGCTGTACGCTCCAGGATATTTTGAAACATGAGTTTATTTATTGTAACGTTTGAAAGCTGCCTTTCTGGATCAAATCCACCCCATACGACACATTTTAAAAAGCCAAGTATAAAAGTATAATGACAAAAGTTTAACATTAAAAACAAAGCAATAATATGTTAATGCACGAGCTAGGCAGTAAAAAACACTTATACTGTACATATGCGGCCGGAAATCATCAACAGAACAGCAGCCAAATCACCAAAGCACACAAGTTAAAAGCCTGTTGAAGAGGCTCAGTTTTCAAAGCCTCTTGAAATCCTGCAGGCGTACTGGTTGGCCACCTTTCCAATTGGAGATGCAGAGCTCCAGGCGAGCCGTAGAGGCAAAAAAAGAAAAAAAAGGGGGGGGGGAGGAAAGATCCATTGAAGTTTAAACCCTTCCTGCCATACAGGAAAAAAAGGACCACTTTTGCATTGTGAACCCTATTTTTTTTCGACTTACAGGTGTAGTTCAATACAGTAGTTTGTACCAACAAATCAATGCACAGCAGTGAAACGGTGCTTACCTCCAATTATCTGGGTGTTAAGACTGCAGCTTGAAGCACTGGTAGATAACATGGAATTTTTCAGATCTTTTAGACATCGGTCCCGGCATTCCTTGCTATTGGCTATGAGGGATTTTCCCAGGGGGAACTTTCAGTTTCCTTTTTAAAAAAAGGTTCTTTAGAGGGGAGTATCCTCTTTTGATTTTGGGTTCTTTCAAGTATATGTCCTTTGAGTAACCCCGAAACCACCAAAATCTTTCCACAACAAGAAGGGACAAACCGACCATCATCTACTCAAAAAGCAGGTAACGGCAACAGGAAATGAGAAATTAAAATCAGTCATCCACAGGCCTGGGCAGGCAGTGGCAGTACTTTAAATTTCACATTTATCATCACCTCCTCTTCCTCCTCAATTCAACATTAGGAAACTGTACAGAGGAGAAAGAGAAATCATCATCATGATTATAAGCAAAACAAAATACACCCTGTTGTTCGAGGCGGCTGCCATCCCAAAAGGTTTCCGCTGTGGGATGTTTCTTGACCAGCATTTCAGACAAAACAAGGAACACAAAACTTTTTTTAAAAAAAAATTATCTAAGTGATACAATGCATCAGCGATGGTCTAAAAAAATTCACATCTCATCCTCTGCCAAGGAGCAAGGGGAATGTTCAGTTTTCCAATATCCTGAAGTGACTCGCTTATTAAACCACTTCAGAATATCAGGAATCAAAAGCTCAATTTTAAACTTTATTTTTGCCTGGACATAAAGACTTCATGGTACAAAGAAGAAAGTCTAAAGTGGAAAGTTGTTTAGAAATTATCGCTTTCTACTTAGCTCGGATTCCCAGATAAATATGAAAACAGGTTCAGCTAACTCTGTTTCTTATGGCCATTGTTTGATTTTTATGGGCTCACAGGTTGAAACCTATTTTTCTTTTCCTGCTGGCAGCGTGGGCACAACATTGCGCGGCATGATCAGGGCGTTGCTTGGCATTTCAAACTGTGGATAGGGAAGCGCCATATCCCACATTCATAAATGGTTCTGGAGGGAGAAACGTAAAACCAGGACTGGAAAAGCTGAGGTCCTCTTTCTGTTCTTGGAGTCCAACTCCCTTCAGACCCAGCAAGAGAAGACGAAAGTTTGGAATGACTGGGATTTAGGGATGGGACTTTTATCTCATTATAGACATCACAGCTGATCAATGCAGGCTTGTCCGTAAGATGGGACTCCTTGGCGAGACACGGAAACCAAAGGCAGTAAACCTTTGCCTTCAGCAAAACAGTCTGTTCTCTGGCCTGCAGAAATATTGGTTGAAAACTGACTAGCATAAGAGACCTTGCCAACATGGCCCGTATGTTTACGGTGACCAGCCTTTTGAAGTTGGAGGAAGAGGGTTCGTTCATACAGATGTCATGTCCGGGATCACAGTTCTTCTTGTTCTACTCCTTAACGATCACGGGTGTGCAATTAACCTCAGGTTTAATTGTTGCACTCCACGCGTCTCGAAAAATAGGCAAACCTCCACAGAATCTGTGCAAACAGAACTTTTTCTAAAAGTGTTTCAAAACATTTTGTCGTTTTTTAAGGGCTACAGACTAACATGGTTACCAGCTGGAAAATATCTACCTGATATGGAAACACATGATATTCTCCGAGTCCTTAAAATTAATTAATTAATAATAATCATCATCATGAGCCGTCAAGTCAAATTCTGGCGTGGGGCAGCTCTTTTCAGGATTTTCCAGGTAGAGAAGACTCAGAAGTGGTTTCTCCCCTTCCCTTCTTCTGGGGCAAAGCTGGGACTACGTGCAGCTGGCCCAAGGCCACCCAGGCTGGCTGTCCTCCTCCCAGGGTGGGGGAATCGAACTCCCAGCCTCTCGTTCTGCAGACAGAGAGACCTAAACCACTGAGCGATCCGGACAACTTAAAATTAACCAGTTAGTTAATTAACTAATTCTCAGCATGAGTCTCTAGGCTAATCCTCATTTAAACTTTTTTTAAAAAAATTTTTGCGAATTCTCTGTCTTTTGCAACCTCCCCCAATTGCTCAGAATTGTAGAACATCCATAAGTGAAATCAGAATGAGCCCAGTTCTGAGAAAAGCCAAGCAGAGACGGCCGCCCTCTAGTGTCCAGAGAGACATGAGACGGATCTCCTCCTGACTTACCTCCAGCGACAAAAGCAGAGGCACATCTGCAGGGCGCAATCCAGGTGCGCTCGCCCCCTACGGCCCCTATGTTTGGGGCTGGCAGGGGCAACCCACCACCACCAGGCTGGCTCCGCTCCCTTCTCCCTTACATGCTGCTCTCTTCGCCAGAACCAACCCAACAGACTGGCCCTGATATGAAAGTGAAAGCAAACCAGGTTTAGCCTGACAGCTAGAAAAAGGCAAGGCTTTGCTGGGAAATCATGTGGCACCATGAACAGGGGTGGCTCAACCAGGCTCCAGCTGAAGTGCAGCCAACGCGTGCCTCTCTGCAGTTTTTGGGAGGACTCCGACCTTAGTGAGCCAGAGAAGTGGAGAGAGCAGGATTTAGAGGAGCCAAGCAGCTCAACGAGTTAGAGGTCTCCAGCTGCAGAGCCAGAGGCTGGCGGTTTGATTCCTGCCTGCCTCCCCAAATCCTGAAAGGACAGATCCTGCAGCTGAGGCTCCAATACTTTGGCCATCTCATGAGAAGAGGAGACTCCCCGGAAAAGACCCTGATGTTGTGAAAGTGTGGAGGCAAGAGGAGAAGGGGACAAAAGGGGACGAGATGGTTGGACAGTGTCATCGAAGTGACCAACATGAATTTGACCCAACTCTGGGAGGCAGTGGAAGACAAGGAGGGCCTGGCGTGCTCTGGTCCATGGGGTCACAAGGAGTCGGACACGACTAAACAACAACAACAACAACAACAGCTCCACAGGATTTCACAAACTATGCTGGCAATGGAGTTATGGGAGCTGTATAGGGTTTTCTGTATGCTTGTTTTGGTTTTTTTAAGTAACCTTTCCCATCTGTGGTCGTCAGGGCTCAGGTTGAAAAAGTTCTCCATTTCCATTTTATAGAGTTTAAATCTATAGGTGAGCACAGTAATAGAGTCAGTTGGAAGCTTCAATTTACGTTCAGGGAACAAAAATCAGACCGTGTTCAAATCTGAAAAACGAAAGACATTTTGAAAACTGGTTGGAAAATGGCTGTTCTTTATCCCGGGAGGATACAGCAGAGGCCAGGAGGTTCAAACTGGGAATTCTACCTTCCTTAAGGACACCTTGCAAACACATCCCTCTCGGCTTCTCTAAATTGCTCAAACCGGAAGGCTTTGAGACTTAGTGCTAGGCCTAGTTTCATCCAAGCTTCCTGTCCCTGCCCTGGTGCCAGCTGGGAGCTTTCCTTCGGAACAGGAAACTAGGCCTAGGTTTCAGAGCCTTCCAGTGGAGGACTTTTCCCTCCAGTGGGCCACATTTCGACATCTTGCCATTTTCCACATCCAAAACCTGGTCTCTGATTCTCCCACCTGCCCCACTTTTCCCTTCGGACCCTTCTTCCTCTGCCAGCCGGTGGCTTCCTTTGGGACCACCTAAACTGCCTTAGTCCCAATGTCCGCACTGCAGTTCTGGAACATTTTCTTTCAGCAGAGTGACGTCGCAGTGCTCGTCGGGCAAAAACCTTCGGACCAGGATGCTCCCACTTGAAGACATTGTTGTATCAGGGAAGTGCTATAGCGCTAAACTCCACACATAGCGCTAAACTCCACACCTGGTACAAAGAGGTTCAAAAAAAAAATCTTGGCTTTGGAAGGGGAGAAAAGGGGGCAGGAACTCATTTTAAAAGATTTAAGAAATATTGTCCAGATGTCAAGGAAATTTCCAGTGCAGAATCCAGTTCTTGCAGTGGAACAAATTCTGTGTGGGGAAGACTCTTGTATGATTATTTCCAATACAGACTAGCACAGCAGAGCTGTAGACAGGAAATGATCTTCTCTTCACCATCCTACACCATAATGTTGCTGTGCAACTGCCGCTTCATAAACCACCTCTCAGGCGTCCTCACACACTTTCCAGAGGAGTCGATATTGCAAGCGTTGAAATAAAAGTTTTGCTCTATTTCTGCGTCACCCCCAAATATGGAACCCCAGTCCTGGCAGGAGGAGACACATGTAAAGGGTTACAGGGGAAACAGTCAAAAATGCTCTACAGCTCTCCATCAGTCCTGGGCCACCAGATCACATATGTCCTTCTTGAGAAGATCCTTCTATAGAGTTCTCTTGAGAAAATCTCTCAGCAGGTGGTGGGGGAGATCAAAGTCCAGTTGGACAATGAAGTATCCCTAGGGAGAGAGGAAAAGATACAGAATGAGATGGACAGACTGGGGGGGAGGGATAGCGATGAATCAGGGCCGGCTCTACATTTGGGCAGAGGGAGGCAACCACTGTATGTGGTAAATACTGGGAATCAAACTCAGCTGCTATCTCAGGTGTGGCAGTGATGGTATCCTATCAACTGCTCTTCGGATGATTTAGCAGAGAGAGGGTACCATTTCCCCCTCCCCCCCGATATTTCAGATGTAGCTACAATAGGCTGGTCCTATGCAAGATTCTGGGAAAGTTTTTGCTCCAGGTAGAGCATGAAGTGATAGGGTCAGAAATACGTATGTATCTTGCTCAGTTACTGGGTGGGTGGGTATCTGCAGAAGTTAGCTTGTCAGTTAAAAGCACAAACTAGAGAAAGTATAGGAATCTTTGTAAAGGGGTGTGAATTGGTCAAGATGCATCTCAACAAACTTCCCCTTCTTCTATTCCCAGGGTTGTTCTGATTTTGGTCTACCTTAGATTGCAAGATTTCTTCTTTTATTTCTGCAGAAAATGCATGTGCCTTTGGTGAATTTCCCAGACATACATTTTTTACTAAATGGTCTGCCTGTTTGCATTTTTTAAGGGTGTACTTTTAAACACACTTGCTGCATGAATTATGTCACAGGCTCAGATATGTTGGGTTTCCAAATAGAATTGGGATCCTTGGCCAAAAATCTGTTGCTGTGTGTAGTAAAATTCACTAGCATAGCCTCATTGAATCAATGGGGATACGGTGAGCCAACTACTCCATAAGTTCCATCAATTCAAATTGGCCAGCTCCAGTTGTGACTTATTTTGGCATGGCACATTGCAGTTAGAGCAGGAACCATCTGGTTCAATGGAATTTACGGAGGAGTTGACTCACCAAATCCCCATTGATTCAATGGGCGTACTCTAGTGCATCTTACTATGCTACACAAGAGGATTTGGGCCATGGTTAGGTTCCAAGAGATGCACGTCGGGCAATAGGACATAAATGGGAAGCCAGTGGATTTATTCACTGTTTCCACTCAAAAGATCCATCTGTGATGTAGTTGGAGTACAGCATGTGATTCTGAAACTTAAAGATTAAGCAGACTTCATAAGTAAGAAAATGCTAAAGGCAGAAAATATTGCTTCCTGTTCAAATAATATAACATCATTTCCACTGAATACTTTTGCACAGAAGCATCAGCACACCCTGGTAAACGTAGATTGTTCCAGTTAACACCTCACTTGTAATACGTTACTTCCAAACCCTGCCCTTTCCTTCCGTGGTGAAACATGAAATAAGATCGTTACTGTCAGAGACCCAGGTATGAACCCAAATAGATAAAGTTCTCCTTGCCTTTTCGGTGATTATCTCAGGATTAATTATATCACTGCGGTGAAGTCCTTTGCTGTTCATCAGTGAAGTTACAGCTGCTTCAATTCCTGGGGGAGGGGGGTCAAAATAAATATTAAGGAAACCACAACAATAACCCAGTTGGGTTTGTAGCGAAGGTTGTGTGCGTTTTTCCCCAAAAGCTTTCTTTTGGGGACAAAAAGCTTCACTTCTACCGCCACCCACCATGAACTTTTCATTTCGCAGCTGCTTAATTTCCCTGTTTGTTAGGTATTGATTTATTTTTATCGTGTTTTTAATATTATGCATTATCCTGTGGTTAGCCACCCAGAGTGGCCGGGTTGCCAGATGGTGCGGGATATAAATTCAAATAAATGAAGATAAATACGTCAACAGAAGGGACATTTTGCAGAAAAAATGAGAATGCAGGTCATGTTTTGTTCCGAAGTTATTTAGGGCTTCTCCCGATGGGGCCTATATTTTGTCCACCCCATTTCTGTCCCTTTGCCTCCCAAAGAAAATGGGATGTTCTGGAACTTGCATCCAAACTCCTTTTATAAATCCACTCACATTTTCCTTAAGAAATGTTTTAAAACCCACTTCTCTGGGAAGGCTTCCTTGCTGAACCATTTTCTTGGAGGGGGATTGGAGTGGATGATAATAGAGATCTATTTAAAAGATATGTCTCACCATGGACTTCAGCTACAATCAGAAGTGCTGAAACTCTATCTGGGGTACAAAGTGCTGCTAAAAATAAAGTATGTTTCCAGGATGTACAAAAAGGAGTAGAAAGTTGCAGGAAAAAAGTACTATATGAAGTGAGAAAAGGGAAATGTATAATGGATGGTGGAGTGACTCTGATAGTGTACTACCTGATATTTTAAGGAAAACAAATGGTAATTCTGGAAGAGGTTATGCTATTGAAATAAATAGTAGGGGTGGGTGATTGTTTTTGTTTGTTTGTTTTCTTAAATTTGGTGACAAGGCTTGTGAAGGAGGGAGACACCAAGTAGGGCTGAAACTGACCAGAGATGTTGACTAGATTTTGACATGCATTTTGACTAGATCAGCACTTGTGAAGGAGGGAGACACATAAACAGGTGGAGAAGGCAAGGGGACATAGAAGGCACACCAGTGTGTGGCAAACCCCACAGACACAATTTACACTGATAGAGGCAGTCACACATGCCAAAACAATTCAAAAATAAATCAAACTGACATCCGAGTTAAAATAAATAACCTGTCACACATGCCAAAACGATTCAAAAATAAATCGAACTGACATCCGAGTTAAAATAAATAACCTTCTGGTGGAAGAGGAAAATATCTCACTTCCAATCAAAGGAGGACCCAGGGAGCTTGAAGTCCAAGAAATAACTTTTCCAAGCCATGACCGATAGGATTTCTCATTCCCAGAATGCGGTCTCGCTCAGAAGGTCTCATTCCTGAGCCAGATGTGAACAACCTATCACAGGACTTCTCCCACCGATGCTCCACAGCTGCCTCTGTGGATGAAGAAACGAGGAATATACTCACTTGAAACCACTTTGGGAATCCCAGTGATTGTAATGATCTTCTCCAAAATGTCCCTCAGAGTCTCCTCATTCTGAAACACAATGTCACATGTCACATTACGAATGGCATCCATTTCCCCACCTGTCATGGCTGATACTTGGGTCAACGCATCTGTCAAGAGCGGGTGGCGCTTGACAGAGCAAGTAAGGTCCATTGGCCCAAGGAACTTACCGATGGAGGTTCAAAACCAAGGAAACGCCTGCAGTCCAATGTTTTGTGCTTAAATCGGGGTGGAGGAGGTTTGAGACAATGAGTTTCCGCTGGTTTTTTTCTTTCCAAAATCAGATTTGCTTTAGGATCATAGAATCCCAGAATCATGGAGTTGGGAGGGACCTCGAAGGCCATTGAGTCCGACCCCTTGCTCAAGGCAGGGATCCCAAGTCCAATGTTCTTAAATCGGGGTGGAGGAGGTTTGAGACAATGAGTTTCCGCTGGTTTTTTTCTTTCCAAAATCAGATTTGCTTTGGGATCATAGAATCCCAGAATCATGGAGTTGGGAGGGGCCTCGAAGGCCATTGAGTCCGACCCCTTGCTCAAGGCAGGGATCCCAAATCAAAGCAGATCTGATGGATAATTTTCTCTTTATTGCCTCCAGTGTTGAAGAAATCGCCTCTTCCCAAAGTCATGGGTTCCACTGTCATACTGCTCTAACAGTTAAGAGGTTTTCCCTGATATTCAGCCTAAATCTGGCTTCCTGTCCCTTGAGCCCATTATGACGTGTCCTGCACTCTGGGATGATCGAGAACAGATCCTGACCTCGAAGGCCATTGAGTCCAACCCCACCTGCTCAAGGCAGGGATCCCAAATCAAAGCAGATCCGACGGATAATTTTCTCTTTATTGCCTCCAGCGTTGAAGAAATCACCTCTTCCCAAAGTCGTGGGTTCTACGTTGTACTGCTCTAACAGTTAAGAGGTTTTCCCTGATATTCAGCCTAAATCTGGCTTCCTGTCCCTTGAGCCCATTATGACGTGTCCTGCACTCTGGGATGATCGAGAACAGATCCTGCCCCTCTTCTGGAGGAAAGCCTTTCAAGTATTTGGCAAATGCTATCATATCTCCTTCCTATCATATCTTCTTTTCTCGAGGCTAAACACGCCCAGTTCTTTCACTCTTCTCTTTCCTCATGGGCGATGCAAGGTTATTGATTTTAGCTTAACTTTTCAAGCTCAAGACCACGGAGATGCAAAACTTACCACAGCTATATCTGGAGAAAACTTAAATCTTCTGGGTTCTATCCTGTGGTGGAAATAGGAAATCATGTTTGAGAGTAAACCTAAAGAAGATTCTCCCAATGGGTGATGCAAGGTTATTGGTTTTAGCTTAGCTTTTCAAGCTCGAGACCATGGAGATGCAAAACTTACCACAGCTATATCTGGAGAAAACTTAAATCTTCTGGGTTCTATCCTGTGGTGGAAATAGGAAATCATGTTTGAGAGTAAACCTAAAGAAGATTCTCCCAACTTCAGGTTATGATTTATATTAGTTTCATGTCTAGCTCATTTTTTTGTCCAGTTGGCTCAAGGTAGGGTATTTTATACTCTCTTCGCCAGTGGATTTGGAGAGGCAGAGAGATTGTGGCTCGCCCAAGCATTACCCAGTGAGGTTTCATGGCTGAGAAGAGATTTGAACTCTGGTCTCCTGAATTACAGTCCAACACTCGTACTGCTACACTACACTGGCTCTCAAGGTGACAACGTAACTCCTATGAAATATTGGTTTAGCCCAAAGTGGTAAGACTAAGAAACAGCAGGGCTGAAAGTAAGAGATTTGAATCGGAAAGAGCAAGAGAACTGAAGAGGCTGGAGCTGCTGACTTGCCAACTTGGTCTAGGTATAATTCCTGTATGTTTGTGGTGGAGAGATGAATCCACATAGTGAATTCATAAATTGCACACAACTGAATTGATATTTTAGGGTTTTGAAGATTCTTTTGCGTTCTTGCGTTATGGATATCTTGGGGAAGATATCTTGGGTTTTTATCTGACTTTGAATCCAAAGGGATGCTTGGACTTTGCAAATTCTACAAGCTACTCCTATTTTGGTGCTGTTACCAAGATTGTGAGTGCACAAATTGTAGCATTTTTTTTGCTGCTATGATTGATTGTGTTGTTTGCTCTATAAATGCAAGTAAGATGAGATTTATTTTGTGAAATTATGTTTGCAAGAATCGTCAATAGTTAGCAAATAGCCCCTAGAACTTAAATGCATTATAACTACAACAACTATCATCCCCAGTCATCTTAGCCATTGAGTGTAGACCAATACAGCTGGAGGGCACCAGGTTTGGGGAAGAGTGACCCCATACTCGCCCCCCCTTTGTCACCCTCTGTGTTCATGGAGAGGAACAGTCCTCTCTGTGCAATGGGAGGGTATCAATACGTACATGGCATGAGATTGAAGCAAGGTCAGTCTTTTTTGTACATACGAAGCCTGGATCAAGGCAGTTACGTCCTGCAGAGGAGGACAGAAAAGTAGAGGAGTGAGTGATGTTAGCACCTTTTCAAAAGTCAGAAGAATTTGAAATGTGGGTTTATTTCAGGAAGTTAAGAATTTCCTGGGTCGAGAGGGTGACCCATGCAGAAATACTAAAACAAAAGAATCAAGTTCAAGAAATCATCGGGTACAGAAGATGCCGAAATCTAGAGTACTTCAGTCATAGAGAAAGAAAAGCTTCAGAGGGCTACAGATTCAAGGAAAGACGAAGGGAGAAAGGACTTAAAAGATGAAGAAGAATCTATCGGCTGAAAATCCTTAAGGGCTGGTATGAATGCAGTAGACATCATTTTTCAGAGCTGCCATCTCCAAAGTCAAAACAGCCATGATGACATCTAACTTCTGGTGGAAGAGGGGGAACCGGTGGAAGAACAAAATGTGTAGAAATGGACCGAGCTGGAGGAGAAAATCTGGCAGAAAATCTGATCCCATCCACTGACAGCTGGTGACTCCCGTTTCAGGGGTGCTGCGAATCTGCTCCGGGTTTTCGACTGTAATCTATGGGAGTTAGTAGAGCGGATGGACCTGTTTTGGGAATAGGGTTCATGATTTTGGAGAGCTCCTGTCCAGAAGAGACTATCATTTGGCCTGGATTTACAGAAGCCCCAAAACGGGCATCACAAGTTGCTGCTGTTCCAACCAAAAACCCCGGGGTATCCATTGGGGGGTTGAGTCGAGAACCGGGCCATCTCATTTTTCTTAATATTTATCCGAGAGAAGCCTTGGATTTCCCCCCCATTTCCCACGCGCGCTGACCTTTTCAAAGTACAAAACCGTCGAGGGTTCTTCTCCTTGCGAGGAAACCACCAGTTCCACGGCCACGGACGACTTCACCACGGTGCCTTCGGGCTGGAGGGCAATCTGAGGAGGCTCCAGGCTCCAGACTTTCGCTCTGGAGTCATTGTAGGGGGTGCCCTGGAAAATCTGAAGAACCGACAAGAAAAGCCATTCCTTCCTCCCACCCTTCCTTCGTTACTGCCTGCAGAAAGACACTCTCCCTTCCATTGTTCAGACACCGAAACCATCTCAGTTCCTTGGTATTCTGAATCCTAGAGAACGCCTTCCAAAGTAACTTAATACAAACTTCAGGGCATTTCCAGTGGGCCAGAGTAGACCGTGGTGAGCCCGGAGGCCATAAAATGACCCTTGAAGCTTACCCAGCCTGGCCACGGACCTCTATCTATGCAGCTGGTTTTATTATACACCCTCGACAGGTTTTTCACATTACCTGCTGCATATTTTTAAGAGGTTGGGACCAAATGTTCTTCTCATAGATAATTCTTATTAAATAATCAGTCTTATTAAAGCCACAAGCCTTTGTCAGCCAGTGCTTTCCCCATGAGTAAAGGAGGAGGGAATGCTAAAGCATCATTGAGGGTGTAACAGACAGCGATAAAGAATCATGCCGGCTCACGCTGGAAGCCGTCCCATCGCTGGGAGCAATATCTTGTCAAGCAACCCTTCCGTGCATCTCAAAAGCAAAACAACGAGGGAAGTGTTGCTGGTTGCTGTTTTTATCACCCCATCCCACATCCAAGACAGGTTGGCTCCAGCACCCAACCCACAAAGGAATTGGTGACCTTCTTCTTAAGAGCGGAGAGCAACCTGGCCGGTGGATTTTGTGCAAAAATAAATTATAAATCATCCCTTCCATTTTCTGCACACCTTGATTATATTTTAATTTAATTCCTTTGAGAAAAGAAAAATTCAGAAAATGGGCTTCTCCTGCACAGAGATTCAGTTACCCATTTGTCAAAGGATAGCTTGAAGACAAGGATTAAATTTACCTCTTGCACAATCTCCCGGTGAATTTCCAGTTCCTCGCTTTCAAATATTTCCTACGAGGGAGGGAAGGAGGGAGGGAAGAAGGAAGTTTCATCACACTGCAGGTCAAAGACAAAAAAAAGCAGTTGGTGGCTTTCTACCAAAATAAACAAACAAACAAAGCTTTATCTGCCTAACAGTACCACCCCAGGAAAAGCACTCTCTTTTAGAAACATGCAACATATTTCTCCATGCTCAGAGAAGCCCCCCCCCTTTGAAACTTCTATATGTAGATGGACTGATGAACCTGTAATTCTTCCCCGGTGATCATCAGTTCCAGCCGCTGATCTAGAAAGGCTGCCAAGGCCAGAGAGTTGAGGACGTGGTCTGAAAACCAGAAGTGGAGCATTCGAGACTCGGACAGTAGAGACGGTGTGAATGCAGAGTCACGGAAGACGGCGGAATAATTTTTATACAGCAAAAGGCCCTTTCGAGAGAGCAGAAGGCACAGTGTTTTATGGACAGAAGGCCACCCTGAGATACAATCTACGCAGTGCCTGGAGTCGCTGGCTGCTTCAACCTCTACATTTCTCCTACCTAAAGATACTCCCAATGGAAGATGTGGGGTTCTCTACTTTCTCCTCCAATTCAAGATAAGTCCTCACAAGAAACACACATTAGTCTCCACACTGTCTCACACTCTAGTAACCATCGGGAAAGAGTGGATGACTCTTTGTATGGTCAACACAGAAGGATGATTTCGAAAAATAGATTTGGTAAAGGAAATCCATGTAGCCAAACATATCTAATTCTCTAGCACTTCTGGGGCACGCTATGCTGCTAAACACCTCTATTGGTGATAGAGTCTGAGAATCATGGAGTTGGAAGGGGCCTCTGAGGCCATCGAATCGAATCCTGCCTGCTCAAGGCAGGAACCCAAGTCAAAACAGATCAGACAGAGGGTTGCCTTAATCTTCTCTCGACAGCCTCCACACAGCGAAAAATAAAAGAATGGGAACCGCATTGTGATGGATGTAGATGGCCACCCAATGGCACCCAAAACTGGGATAGAAGAAAGAGCTGATTTGTAGGATACAAACTTAGAAAGACTAATAATTCTTTTTAAAAGTCTCACTTCATCTCTCTGGTAATGTACACACTAATCCAGTGTCATTAGACTACAATAACTTTGCTAACTTTTAAGGTGCAACAAAATCCTTTGTTATTTCCATGTGCATCTCCCATCCTTTTTGGTCCGTATGAACAATGTCATCTCGTAGTGCAGAGTGAACACCTTATAGGGTGTCAGGAAAGGCTAAGACCACTACCGCTTGTGGTAGATATGGGGGTGGGCAGCAGACCCTCCCCTCTGGTGGAAGACAGAATTGTTTACACTGCAGCCTTTATTCTCTATATTCACCCCCTGTGCTTGAATGCCCTGGGGGCACTGCTTTCCCCCTGGTGCCAAAATAAAATTCAGCAGCCAGTCCACTTCGCTGATGAGTGGCTTCAGTGAAGTGGCCAAATGCCTCTTGAGTCAAGCCTGTTGGGATTTCCTATAAAGGGGATGGTTTTGCCACACACACACCTTGTTGGAGTTGCCATGAGGATATCAACTTACCTTATGATGGGATTCCAGGTAAGTTGCTTGGATAACTGGAGATGATATCAGAGAGACATCCACACCAATATCTCCATCTTGCAGGAAATTGGCTGCCAGAAAATTAAGAGGTGCTTTTTCAACGCAAGAACCTTCACCTCTTTTCTTGAGTCCTTGACTGTCTTCAGATAAGCATCCCATAATATCCCCCCACCATCATTTGTTCTGCTCCACTGCCCAATGCTTGCAGAATCAGACCAGGGCTCTTTGTGATCAGAAAGAGATGTTTGAAATAGTCTGTAATTAGAGCTAAACGTATTTTAGCCTTTCAGGGAAGTGGTTTGGAGCAGGTTTATGCAATCGGACCCCAAAGGAATCATGCACTGAAGTCCAAATGACCAATCAGTTAAGAAAATAAAATTTCTTTAAGTAAAATATAATATTAATTAAATATTTGTAACCAAATAGAAAAACAGCAGAGACTTGCCAGCTGTGTCTTGAAAAAGATCCGCCAGCATCTGAGCAATGACATTGATTTCTTTACAGACCTATAAAAGAAAAGAGGAAATTCTGAAATTGATGCACGTTTATATTCTGTTCCTGTAGGAATTTTAAAATATGTGGCAGTTCTTGACTCAACATTTAGGATTTTGAACAGGTGGGGAAACAGCAGCCCATTGACAACACGTATCTGTGACACCCAAAACTCTTCAAGAAATGTACTTCCAGAAGCTGTGGACTGCCTGAGCATAGATCCCTTGAAACATCTGCAGGTATCACTTTACGCTACACAAAATGCAATCAGATTTTGGCCCATGTCTCTCTCTCTTACCTGGTTTTTCATAACCAGCTTCAAGGTAAATGAGATGACATTCGTAAAAAGCCGTTTGAGCCATCCAGGGCTGCAGGAGAAAAATATTTATTAATTAAAAAAATATATTTTCACCCCACCTGTACATCATGACAGTATTTAAGATGCATGTGAGTGAACAAAGTCATGTTTCAAACAGGCAAGAATGTATTTCAATTCTTGCCCTGCCCCTTTCTCATTTGTTTCCTGAGTCTTACAACAAAAGGAAAGGAATGGAACATAGAAATTCAAAATCTCATCAAGAATAAGAATGCCCCCAATGGAAAGATATTCCCCATTAAAGATCTCAAAGCTAAATTCATCTTAGACATTAGAAGTCAGGGCCATTAGGATAAGTTTATGAAGCTTCATCTTTCAAAAGATGCTTAGGACCAGATTAGAGACAAGTGGATCCCTTTGAAAGAGGTCTCCAGGTTTTCACGGGGACCATCGCATGCTAGGAAGAGGGGTTTTCATTTAAACGTTCCTTAACAATGATTCTTCAAATAATTTTTAAAAAATCACCAATGGCTCAACTCACCTCCAAGCGGCTTGCCCTATGAATGTGAGCAGACAGATAGCATGGTGTAGCGGACAGAGCGATGAGTTTAGAGCTCAGGAGACCTGGCTTCAAATCCCCGTTTGGCCATGGGGACAGCAGCCCTGGGAAAACCTTCAAGACCCTATTAGGGTGGCTATGTTTTCATTTAAACAATGATTCTTTAAATAATTTAAAAAATCACCAGTGGCTCAGCTCAGCTGCAAGCGGCTTGGCCTATGAATGTGAACAGGCAGCTAGCATGGCGTAGCGGACAGAGCAATGAGTTAGAGCTCAGGAGACTTGGGTTCAAATCCCCATTTGGCCATGGGGACAGCAGCCCTGGTAAAACCTTCAAGACCCTATTAGGGTGGCTATGAGTCTCGTGCAACGTGATGGCCCGGAACAGCAACGGTAGAAGCAGTTCCAGGGTTTGATTGGAAGGGGGGTGGTGGCCTGCATCGAAGCCCTCATCTAGTCATGAAACAACAACCCTGTTAAGGTAGGCCAGCACCCAAGAGCGGAGGTGAGTGGTGCATAAACCCTGGTGTTTGTTTCTTTCAGAAAACGTACTTTTTGTCTCCCTGGAGGTGCAAGACCAGCTTGTGGAAAGTCAGGTAGCAATCGGAGGTGTCCACCACCACCCGGCCGTGGTCACAGCCTGTGTGGCAGGGAGAGACACAAAGAGGCCAGTCAGCGGCAGAAAGGCTGTGATTTTAATCCAATAAATATTACCTGATCGGACTACAACTCCCAGAATCCTGGCCAGAAAACAAAAATCCAAGCTCCGCATCAACAGGTGCCTCGGGTTTTTGGAAAACAGAGGCCAGTGGTATACTGTACTAACCCATTCATTCATTCATTCATTCATGGATTTGCCTGGCTCTCCACCTCCCTCATCCCCCCCCCTCTGGCTTTATAGCATGATGAAAGGACCCAAGGTGGCTTTACATCATTAAAAAAAAATCACAGTATTTAAAAGTTAAAAACAGAAAGTATGCAAATATTAAAATAGAATTAAACAAGTATTTTGTTAAACTGGTATATAAAATCAATATTAAACACGTTCAAAACAGCACAAGAAGCCATTTAACACCTACCCACCCCCATCGTGGCATCAGAAATCGATGTCCGTGGCCAGTGGGTGATTTCCCATGATGCACTTGATCTAGCATCTACTTGGGGGCATTATGGGAAATGGAAAACGTGGCGAGGCACAGCCACCCAGGACAATTTGAAGGGTGGCCTCTGGGGTCCAGGAATCCCACTGACGTCTCCTGACAGAAAGGGACGGAGACTCACGTTGTGGGACTCACTGTCTGGCTGAACTGAAGTGACTCAACTTGGGGTGTTCCCCCCCAATGATTCGGAGTTGATTCACCACTCAGAACCCACCCCTCTCTTTTTTCTGGGGGGAAAAGCTTGTTTTTAATAGGGACTCAGACCCAAAGACCAGCCAACATTCCTGCAGGCAGAGAAGCAGGCCCATGGGATGTCATTGGTCCAACATTCTCCCTCTTCAATAGGGCGCATGATTTCCCTTCCTCCCCTTCATGCGCAGACCAGCGGAAGGAGAACTGCGAAAACCAGGGTTTCCATTTCCACATTACACCCGCCAGCCTGATTTTGATGCAACCAGGTTCTCCCGTCTGCTCTCGGGAAGACTACACCAGGCAAAGGAGAAGGCATGATTTCCCTGCCCCACGATCATTCAGAATCATAAACCATCCCTGGAGAGGCGGATTCGTCTGGCTCTCCACCTCCCTCGTCCCCCCCCCTCTGGCTTTATAGCATGATGCCCTGATGCTCTCCGACTCACAAAACTCAGGATACAGCCTCTGGATGCTCCACAGTCACTTACTCAGCTTAGTGTTTATCAGGAGGTCGATGGAGGAATTGATCTCAAACTCAATGGCGTGGAGGAGTTTCACCCTGCGGCAACGTTTAGAAACACAAACATCGTCACCCGCTGCACCGCTGCTCTCTGCTACGAGACCGCAGCCTCGGGACATTTTCTGGGTAACAGATCCCAGGATCCCCCATGTGGAGAATTCTGGGAGAGGGCATCCAGAGAGGTGGCTTTTCTGGATGGGTGCGTTTCCTAAGCTCTGGCTTTAGGCAAACAGAGGTGGCCGGAATGAACAAGGAAGGCCGGCCATTCGGTGACTCCGCTGCTCTGCCTTGGGAGGGCTTCGATCTCTCCAGGCATCGGCCCGGACGGTCCCTGACGGTCCGGCCCCTTGAGCCATTGACCCTTGCTTCCAAGGGCGGTGGGATCCTGCGCTCCATGTCCCTGGCCCGCTGCCCCACACAGGCCCCCCCCCTTGGGGAACACTCACAGCCAGGTGCCCACAAAGCCATAGGTCAAGGTTCCTTTGAAGGAGGCCGAGACGTTCTGGATTTCGATAGCAATGGCATCATCTTCCCGGAAGTCAACGCTGCTGCTTTCTATGGACAGGCTGTTGACATGGATGCTGTAGAAGAAAAGCAAGGAACAGCCGTTGCTTTCGAGTCTGACTTACCATATTTTTCCGTGTATAAGACTATATTTTTGTCTAAAATCTTTAGAATAAAAATTGAGGGTCGTCTTATACACGGAAGTAAGCTAAGGAGAGAACAAAAACAAGTGGAAATGAAAGCAGGGATCAAAGCGATCCTGCAGGGCTTTGATCCCTTTCTCCCTACACTTGCTAAGTCCCACTTAGATTTCCTACTTTTGGGTTAGAAAAGTGGGGGGGGGTCTTATACATGGGGTGTCTTATACATGGAAAAATATGGTAGGAAACACTGGCAAATCGACTCAACCTCAACTCGGGAGTTTCGGGGGAGGACTTTCTCCTCGACTCGTGACTCAGACCCATTTATCGGAGCCATGTTGTCGAGCCTCTACAGGCCTCCAGCCCCTGCTGCCCACTGCCACCATCTTTGAAGGCAGCAGCCCAGGCTTACTTTCCCGGAGCCGGCCCCTGCTTCTGCGCATGTACATCCCCTGGGTGGCGCATGGGTAGCTCAAGTCTTGGGGTCCCGGGCTTGTGTCCCAAGCCTCGGGGGGGGGGAGTGTCAGGGCAAAAACCCGAGATTCAAACTCCAGGCTTGGGACCTGGTACAGAAACTCTGGTCCCGCTCCAGCAGCAGATTCATTACTCGTGGCTGCACCTTTTCAGAGTTCATGCAGGGCTGGTCACAAATGCAGACTTGGGCACACTCTTGTGCCTCTGGTGGTGCATTCCATGGAGGAAGACGCTCTCCTGTTTCTCCACCCCTTGCAAGAGGAGGGCAGCCCAAGGTATCTCTCCATCAGCGGGATTTAGTCCCTCGCACTTACTTCGTCAATCCGTAGGCAATCTTGCCCACAAAGCGCATGGACTTCTCCCCTTCGATATCTGGATAGTCGGCGTGCTGGAAGGCCGCTTGGATCACCTGCGACGTTTGCTCGTTCACTGCCGGCAGAAAGAATAAAGACAGGGTCCTGAGGACAGACGCCAGTGGCAGGTGATGGGAGGGCTTCTGTGATTCTTCTAAAAACAAGGACCTCTTAGGCTCCGACCACTGAGCACCCTAAAAAATTCTTGGTGGAAAAGTTAGGTTTCTAGTCCTTAATCATCAACAGGAAGCCCAAGTGAGAGCTATGAAACTACAGCATGGAGGCCAAGAACATGGCGCCATGCCTGCTTTCTGCTCGCTGAATAAATTATGCCAATTCGCTTAATTTGCATGAATTCGTAAAGCTGCAACAAAGAATTGAGTGCCCCCCCAATTCACTGGAATATCACCTTTCATCGCTCCACCCCCACCTTGAATCTAGATTGCTCTCGGTCACTCTTTCTCATGCTTCTTTCTGCTGTTTGAGCTGTGTGGAAAATTCCAAAACAACGGCAAAAGTCCAGAGACATTATTCTCCGAGATGACAATCCCCAGAATCCCCTAACCAGCATGACTCATGGAGGATTCTGGGAGTTGTAGTCACACACATTAACTTTCCCAAGGTGTCCAAGATCCATTAGAAAAATGCACCGGTCAGAATTTATCCATCTTCTGCATCCAGGCAAAGTCCTGCGTCGAGAAAATTGAATTCTGTGACCTGCATAAATTAGGCACATCAGTCCTTCTACTCTTTTGCATAATTAGGCTCAATGCACTATTCGTGGAGAGACTCTCAAAACAACTGCAGCCGTGCTGTCAGTTCTACTGGAAATGGTGTTTTAAAAAGACAGCAGAATGTGAAAGGTGGATTTATCACAGGCTGCAAACAATTTCTGGCATAGAAAGAACGGCCAACAAGTCGTGCTGTCGTGAAAGGGAAAAAAATGAATACAGAAATCTAGAATGCATGAAACAGAAAGAACAGGTTTTCACAGCTGATCATTCAAAGTATAATAAATGGGAAAGGGAAGTGCAGGAAGGAAAAGAATCCAGCCAAAAAAGATCAGAGATAGTAAGGATGAAACATATACTGTTTTAGAGATCCTGTGTCCAAATTCAGAAGACCCATCCACACTTCAACAGAAAGGGAAAAATGGAAAGACTGCTAGTATCCTTTTCTCCAGGGTCTTATTGCTAGTGCCCAATTGAGTAGATTTACTGATATCATAAGATTTACACAAGGGTTAATACAGAGCTGTGGATTCAATGGGTCTCCTCTCTAGCTGAGACGAGGGTTAGGATCCTGCCTATGGACCACGAACGCTTCAAAACCTTCCCGGTTTTTCACGAGGTTGCCCTCCAAGGACATCTGGACTCAAGACCGGGTTAGCACACACTTTTCACGAGGTTGCCCTCCATCTGGACTCAAGACCGGGTTAGCACACACAAAGGTTCAAAGCTGTGGCTAGGGTCAAAGAACCCACAGCTTCTCTCCCTCACCCCACCCCCGGATGACTCAGTCAGCGTGGCTGCTGGGCCTGACGTCTGGGGGATAATGGAAGATGTAGTCCAAAAACCTGATTTCCCCGACCTGGGGGGGGGAGAGAGAGCTCATCCCCGGAGACAGTGCTTAAAAGCAGAGAACCACTCAACAGAGCGGAGAGAGAGCAGGAAAGGATGGGCAGGGGGTGATCCTTGCAAGGAGGTGGGAAGCAGTGCCGAGGGCGGCTGAGACTTACGGTGGAGAGCGGCCGGCTTAGTGATTCTACAGACGAGTCCGGTGTCCCTGAAAGAGGGCGGATCAGCAGTGCCGGCCAAGACCTTGCTGAAGAGAACCATGGAAAGTGCCAGGAATATTGGCATCCTCTTCTACTAATTTCCCAAACTGGAGTCCGCTAGAAATGTCAGAGCGCAGGAGCGCCTAACCTCCACCGTCTCTTCTGCTGGAAGGAGGGCACTGGCCACTGGTACACCCCCATGCCTGTGTTGGGCAGGAGATGACCGACTTCCTTGCTCGCAACGGGCCAGCCTCCTCTTTGTGGGCTTCCTCGCAGCCTCCTTAACCCCTTCCAAACCTTGGTCTGGCTTTTAAGAGGCACAGGTCCCAGAGGGGTCTGGGCTCAAGACTTGGATTGGCACACCCTGGAGTGTGAAGGGTATGCCCGGTTGAGAAGAATCTTCTCTCTCCTCCTCCCCATGCATTTCATCATCACAATTCCTTAAAATTTGGAATTCAGCGATGCATCCATGCATGATCTTATTTAGACGCTCCTCACAGCCTGTACTCCCACCTGGAGCGTGCTTAGCTTGTGTGGGTCCGGCCGGAATGGCACATGAAAATAAAATTTGTGCAATGCCATTAATAAGGAGGACCATCTTGGGGAAAAAAAACGTCCACTTTCAGATCGGTGGGCCCTACGAAGAGTTTTAAAACTCTGGCAAAAAAGAGGAGTACGGAATGAGGGTTCTGCTATAAAGGACGATGTGATGTGAATTCAAATGGTTGCAAAGAAGAATATTCATAAAAGGAGCTGCTATCCAAATCCACAGAATACAGTTTGCACTTAAGACCTATGAATGCCTCAGTGTCAAAGGGTGCCCACACACCCATGCTCAGAAACAGTGGATAAGTGGAAATGTAGTCCAGAAAGCAATTTCTCTTGGGCTTCTCTGCTTTTGGATTACCATTCCAATGTGCCCCAGAATCCCTTTGCCTTGCAAGAGTGCAGTTGATATCCCATCATCCTTGGAGACACAAGAACAACTGTGTAACCACTGTTGGCTGGAATGGGATGATGGCAGATCTAGTACCACGTATTTGTGGAGAGGCTCCAGATTTTTTTGGGGGGGGGATTTGCCATCATTCAGGGAAGATGGGGGAATTTACATTTTTGAGTCTATAATGTACAATGTACAATGACAAGAAGCTTCTGTAAGTTGTAGTTTTTTTAAAAAGGAACTTTCCTTAACCTCCATCATTCAGGGTGGCAAATGTCTTGGCCGGTGCTCCCAATTTCCATGTTTTCCTTGCACAAGAGTATTATAGAGAACTTTTTCTCCCCCTTTCCTTTTTAAATATCTGGCAAATCTATCATAGGAAACAGATGCAACTCTAACAATAAAATATTGACCTGGAAAGACCGGCATTAAGGTGGACGGGTACAGCAGGGAATAGCTTTTATCGCTGTTTGTGTATGCTCATGGAAATGCAGGTCAGCATTTCGAGCAGAAAAACAAATCCAGCCACTGATTAACCCAGAGGATTCCTGCAAGTCCAGCCACGGAATCTTACTGGGACAAGATGTAGCCATTACAAAAGGCACCATATCCAGAACACAGAAATTTTACCTTGGGGGAGTAGGGCACGCAGAATCCACGTGCATCCATTCTGCAAGTTGGTTCCCTCAAATGGAGCTTTGTGGAGCTGTCCACCGACCTGTGTTCCAGTCCTGTTCCTGCATACCTGGGCATAAGTGCCAAAGACCTTCAATGGCAACATCTCCTGTGTTTTTTGGGGGGTTGGGTTACCGCCCTCTATGAGAAATTGTCCTTTATTCAAAGACCTGTTCAGTTGTTTTTGTTACAGAATTTTGAATTTTTGATTCAATTCCTTTAGCTGTGCAACTGAAGTGCAAGGATTTCACACAGCCCAGTAACTTGGCTATTCCTCAGAGTAGTCCACACCTTTTTCTCATTGACTGTCACTTACAGTCTCAACAACTCACTCAGACATGACCAGTACAAAGAATGAAAAATGGTTCATTTACTTACGGTTGAACAGATAAAACATTAAATGGATGAACATGACAGCTTTCAACAACAGATTTCAACCAACTCTATGGGAGGGAAGCACGGAGCAGAAAGGCAGGGCTCTCTTTGAATTCAGAGTCAGGGCAGGAATGATGTTCTTTTTTCTGGATAGAATGACAGTCAGTCTAACCCAGAAAGGTACAGAAACAGGAGTAAGGGAATCATCACTAGCAAATGAAACCCTGGAACACTCAAAGACAGAGGTGTGTGTTCGCAGGTCCTCCGTCCACCCTTCGTACTCACAAGGCAGGCAGTCTTCCTATCAACTGGTTATTAGAGGTCATTCACCTCGATTCAAGCTCTCTCTATAGAACATAATCAGTGTTGTACTCACATACCCCCGGCTCAAGAGACAATAGAAGAGATATTTATAAACTCCGATCAAGGAAAAACTGCAACTTTAGGTCAAGTTCAATGGCAGGAAGACATTACGGTTTATTCTCGGCCCAGCCTTTTCCCTCCCTTCACTTGGAACCAGAACAGAAAACATCTTTTGTAACAACAGGCTTGAAATTCATGGACGCTCCTACTTGAAAAGGTCTTCTTCCCCAACCTTAGTATCATTCGCTTTTTAACACTGATTCTGCCATCCACTGGTTCTCAGTCTTCTTACGCCTTCCAGATGTTTCGGATGCCAATTCCTCGATACTGACCTACAAACAAGCGTAAAACCTTGTGGTGGAAGAGTAAAGGTTGAACTCCATTTGCTGTCCTTTACCCCACATGGAGCTCTTTGGTGACAGCCTTGAGGGCAAAAGGCTCAGAGCCACGTGATGTCAAAGGGAAGCTCCTCCAGGTGAAGCATTTGCTTCCTTTGAAGATGGGCTTTCGACCCTGGTTTTACAGGAACATTTTTCTTACCTTTCTTGATATTCAATTAGGTTTTATTCCTTTGAGTTCCCATCATTTTTCATCTCTCCCAAACCATGTGGTTTATTTTTTGTACTTTTTTGTTCCGGCACTGGAGTTTAGTGCTCTGGTACTTCCAATGCATAAGTGCTTCCCAGTCTGGAGTGTAATTCCTTTTGCCTTCTTCTTTGTGGTCTCTAACAGACAAAAGTGTCATAGCTACTCTTTTGCAGTGTCGCAAATTCTGACCCCCATCCTTTGGTACCTCTGCATCCATCTTATGACCCCAAGGGGTGAACTAGTGAAACCAGAATGCTTGTAATCATTTATCCTTAACTCACACCCTGGAATACTTTGCCAAAAGCCACAGTTGCTGAAGACAGTAACAACCTCTTCCACAGTAGCCTTTTCTTCTAGAGCAGTGGTTGCCAACCTTGGGTACCCCAGATGTTTTCGACTCAAACTCCCAGAAGCCTTCACCACTAGCTGCGTAATGGCCAGGATTTCTGGGAGTTGTAGTCCAAGAATATCTGGGGTACCCAGGTTGGGAAGCACTGCTTCAGAGCTTCTGATGTAATTGACAAAAAGGAAATTGATCTTCTTTCTCCTTCGTGTGGGCTTGATTATTTTGTCTGCACACATACATTTGGATGAGGAAACATCAACAAGCAACAACAATCACAGCATAGGGGCAAGAAATGAAGCAAAGCTTAACAGATGCCACTTCTGGAGACCCTCTGGCTTATAGCCATCCGCTGCCAATATCTTTCCTGTTTGCAATGAGCACAACAGTGAAATAGCCCCAATGGTGATACACTAAGGGTATGTCTCGCTCCCTACTGCAGCTGGAGAATATTCCCAAACTAGAAAGCATGAGCAACTATGGGACGTGCATGAGAAGACACACACACACTTCCAAGGCTGCTTATTGGGGCAAAAGGGAAGCGTTTTCAAATACTGTATCAGAACTAGATCCTCCACCGATGACATGCAGCTATTTGAGAAACTAACCACACCTTACACAATCCCCTTTCCTTAAGCAACAAAGCGTTTCTAAATATTCTCCCTACCCAAAACTGTTTTTTGACACCTTCAGGCTTCACTTCTTTCAAGGCCTGTTTCGACTTTTTAAACAAAAGTGGAAAATTTAGAATATGCTGCGGCTCGTGGGGGGTGGTGACGAGGCAAGGGGATGGAATTACCCCTTTCATTTAGTGCATCTAAAATTATTTCTACTGTAGCTCTGTCACCATGAAATAAATACCAAGTTTCTGTCCATCTCCATTTCTCTCCCCGTCAAGGAACTGGTATGTTTCGATTTAGGCAAGCGTTAGGGTTCAAAGAAGTAATGGCTGGATTTTATATTTTCGAAACAAGGGCTCACCTCCTTTTCTCCACCCAAACAAATCCAAGATATAACCTTGCAAAAATCTAACAGATCTATCTTCAGCCTCCTCTTATTTACCGTCTCAACCAAAGGTAGATTCCACAAACGTACATTCATTCCAATAAAAAGCCACAACGCTGGTGAAATTCGCAATGGCCATTGGAGCCTCCCTGCGGCAAAGCAGAATGCCAAGCCACAGACCTGAAGTCACCGATACGGCTTTCTTTACTTTGCAGTATTTGCCACCTGGTGGTGAACCAGCATTTAACCAGAGAATTTTTCAGAGATCTGCATTAATAGTCATACATCCAGATTTCCTTTTTAGCCAATTAGCTAAAGCTGGTCCATTGAGTTTCTGGCCCCCTCAATGGTGAATGCTCTTGTTCTGTGCTGCCAAGTTCGAACTGACGTAGAGTGATGCTACCAACTAGAGCTTTTGAGGTGAGGGTAAGGAGTGGCTATTCCAGCCCCATAGCCCTAGTTTTCATGCCTGAGCAGGGACTCGAAACCAGACCGCCTGAGTCCTAGTCCACCAAACCACACTGGGTTCCTTGTGTGAGCAGGAGACATTTATTCCAAGACATGGTACATCGAGCAGGGAATGGGAAGAAAGTGTTTTGTCCTGGTGGGATAAGCTCCTGATGATAATGAGAGATAGGAGCTACCAGTATCTGAGGAACACGTTTCTTATAGCCTTGCCAGCACCATTACTTGTAGAAGAGCATTAACAATGCCTGCAGCTTCTCAGAAGTGCAACAGTTCGGAAAGACAATCACGCTTGATGAGAAATCAAAAAGAAATAAAGAGGCCCTTATGCTTGAGCCACTCACACATTTATGGGATGTCTTCTGGATACCCACATAAGCTTTTTCCTTTTTTTCATCTTATGGGTATAGGTTAACATATGATTCACTCGGAACAGGTGTGTCTGAGTTTATTAAGATGAATCCATCACGTATTTCACTTTTTTAAACAGATAATGTACAAGAATTGTTATCTACTCCATCATATACATGATATTTGTAAAATAAACTGAATATTATTTGCAACAGGGAAAATATGCAATGAAGAAACTATAAATTCAGCATCATTTGGGGGGGGGGGAATCAGGAAGCACATGTAAGAAAACCTTCTTGTGTGGGGAGGGTCTGAAGAGAAATTATCCCTGAGCA